CATTACGTACAAACTCTCGTCCCTCATTTTAATGAGAATCATTTAGTTACTTCTTCGTAATAACTAGACATTGTTCTTATTATCATATTTCCAGTGGACCTCAAAGATACCACGCAAAATCCTAATAAGAAATGTATTTTACAATTTAGTAATGATATGAATGAGTAGCGTCGCAGAAAAACTTATGCTTATATTTTGATATTTATTGTCAAAATTATCATAACATTACCAACAGATATTAAAATAGATGGAAACGTTTTCAAATTCTTTTTCAAATATTCTAATTTTTTATTTAAACAATTTCTCATGATTTTTCAATATTCCCTAATAATATGTATAAAAAAATCTATAACTAGATACTATTAACTAATTACTATAAACTAACATTAATTTAACAAATAGTTGCTATTATCGATAAATATTAGATATGCTGTTCAGCAATGAACAATTAACGGCTGATATGATAATAGTAATTATAATGATAGTTTGAAATTTAAAAACAATATTGTAACCATTTTTTGTAGATAAATGTATTGCAAAATAATTAAGGTACCTACCCATTTATACAAAAATGTATTGCATAACTAGCTTTCATACTGGGTTGGAACAATACACGCGTGAGCTAGTGGGCGGACATCTAGCACCATCTAGGTACTAAGTGAAATAGGGATTGACGCCTTGGAACTAGCGAGGTTCAATTTTATTTCAATTACTTTATACTTGTTTTCTTTTTTGCTATTAGTGATCGCATCTTCACTTATAAATGTGTGGTACTTGAAGTAAATGTAAATAATAATATTGTACCTAATGCTTTAAATTAACAACCAAATGCAATATTCTTTCTGTTAGTCTGGATGTCTATGTGTAACTTATATCTAATAATTTACAAAAGTCTATCAGTAATCTTATACTCAACAAGCTCTATTTAGTTTAAAACTAGATGGGGCTATACGATACGTTCAATGCAAAAAACAATCCTTGTTGTTTTTTGGGTAATAAAAACAATAAAGGAGTCAATGGATGCAGGTGGCGCAGAACCGTTCCTTATGGCAGTCATGTTTTTTAAGGAGTGATTGATTAGTCTATCTATTTGTTACATAACTATGCATTACACAAAATTCTATTGCCTATCTACATTACTACATCATCATAAACTTGACAGTTTCTCAAATTTAAACACAGTAAGTAAAGTCCCTTATCAATAATAGCAAGCAAAGTTGCAGACTTACTTAATTTAAACCGATCTAAAAGAACTATGAGTTTTTTTATGCAACTTTAAAAAAAGTGTGTTTAAATAGCTATGTTTTGGTTTGAAGGGTGGGATATGGCAGTAAATTTACAGGGTACAGGAGAATAATACCTGAGTTCTCAGGAATGGCAACACATAGGGGGTATGATGGGCGAAACAGAATACTCTATTATATCCATAGTAGTGCACATGTCTATAGGCGACGGTTACCACTTTCCATCAGGTGGGCCGTCAGCTTATTTGCCATTCTAAGTTGCATAAAAAAATCTCAGACAATACCGAGTTAGATGCATCGCACTTCATCCAGTTCTGAAGTAGACTATAAACTATTTTTATTTAGGTAGCTACCTATAACTACGACATAAACATGGGTACTACTTCCGGGTTTGTCCTAAATGTTAACGAAAAACCATTTTGTGCAATTACGATTTCGATATTTTAGAGCTACGATACTACAGACAAGTATACATAATAAAGTAGAAGAGTTTGTTTGTTTGAACACGCTTATCTATGGAAGTATTTTTGTCGGATTTCAACGACGTGAAGTGGACTACCAGTCTCATTGTTAGAAATATTCCAAGTTGATCTCCACGTGGTACCTCCTGGAAACCATTGTACTGATTTCCAGGTGTATTCATTACGATGGGCTAAACACAAAAAATTGTTAATTCATTAAAATCCAAAAACATGTTCATACAATTTTCCACTTATTGCTTAAAATATTTTACAATAATTATAATATAATCTAATGTATCTTCAAATTGTTAATTCTAAAATACACTTACTAGTTAGATGGGATTCTATCTTATAAATAGGCAATACATGTAATTTAACACCTACGAGCACCACTCACTGCTGATCATACATCCAGTATTTACATGTCTACACATCTATAGGTTCCTATATCTATATTACTTGATAAATACTTATTGTTATCAAGCTCGATTCACAGTATGCACTCTAAAGAGAAATTAAAGTCCTACATTTATAACGTCTTTCAGACGTCACGTCAGTCTCGTGATTTGATGATGATGGATGAACAAGGGTTTTGTGAATATAAATGAGCCGCATATAACTCGCTTTGTTTATTTATGCCTTTTGCAGGACACATCTCTACCTTATATAGGTCATTGACATTGAAATGCAAAAACGTGCAAATAAAATTTTCTGTTAGGTAGTCTTTTATTAGGAAGTTTTATTGCAACAATATTGAATAAAAGAATAAATTATATTAACTAAAAGGACATTTTGTGAAAAATATATTCAAATTCAATTAATTAAAAATTATGATCTGATAAACTACCTATCTCTCAAAAGACACAGTTACATTTGGTTTTACTTTAACAAATGTACCTACAGCTACTATAATTAAAAAATTTATGAGCATCGGATAAATATTTAGAGGCAAATTTATTGGCATGCGAGTCATAAACATACCTGATTAAAACCCATGGTGTTATATGCCCATTAATAGGATATGAAAGCATGAAGTTGAGACACTGAGTACATAACGGAATAATAATCATAGTCTTAAGTGCAGCAGGATTATGCAAAGCTCTTGCCGTAAGCTGTGATGGTAAACCGCAAGGTGACTAGCCGTTATTCTAACTGCATTAGAAATGTGATGCACTCCTGCAAATCGATCTATCTACGACATTGCAACATATCTTTGTGTATGATAAAATCATTCTGAAGCAAAATCATTTTTAAGTACTCCAGCATACATATCTAAATTATCTCAAAATATAGCAATATCACAAGGTACTAAAAACGACTAAGTATAAAGATTTATAATAAGTAACACAATATATTTTGATTGTCAACCAATCAGTCTATATAAGATACAGTATTTTACTCAACTTGATATCTATAAATTCAAATCTGATAAAACTCATTAGTTAATTATCTATTTAAAATTACATTACTTGTACCTATTTAAAAAACAATTACTTACGGTAAATTTGCCCATGTAATAATCCTAGATAACGGGGTGTGACAGGAAACAGGACTCCGATGGTAATGAATGAGACAGGTAGAGCCGGGCCACAGTTTTTATCAAACTCCTAGAGACTGAGTGGTTAGGAACAGTTATCAGGCACCTCTAGGAATGTAAAGCCGTTGTACTTCCTAGTTTGTTTTATTAGATCTTGTTTTATTCATAAGTCACATAAGCAAGGTTTAATAATAGATAGTATTTATAAACATACTGTCTCATCGATATCGTAAAAAATATAAGCCCACTATTCAATAATGAATATCTCAACATTATAACATATTATTAGAGTTTAAAAATAGATAATATTGTATGTATTGTTTCACTAGTATTGTAGTCATTAGGAGTCATTAACGAAGATTTTGTTTAAACAGTAATTTACATAATTACGTCAAATGAAGTCACTAAGTAACTATTATATTCGGGTCGTTTAATATTAATATAGAGGCGCCATATAATAGGTAATAAATTTCTAATAAATTTAATTTAAAATTATTATACGAGTATATGTCGTTTATGACGGTTCATAAAATAGTATTTCCATAAAATTATTATATTAAAATATTAGGTTAAAAAATAGGTTTAAAGAAATAGCACTACAGATTCAACCCGTGTTTACAATATAAGTACTAACCTCTAACTTAGTGATAATAAGTAATTAGTTAATTAATAATGAAATTTGGTACACGGGTAGGTTATATCCTAACTTAGCAGATAAGATACTACTGAATTACGCGGACGAAGCCGCGTGATTTAATATTCATCATCATCATATCAGCTTTTAATTGCCCACTGCTGAACATAAGCCTCCCCTTGGGGGATTTGCTAGTAGTTGCCACGCTTTGCAGATGGATTAGCAACCGCAGTTAAGCTTTAGAGATATTTTAAGAGGGGCACTACTGCCCATCCCTCGCTCTCCCATAAGCGCGTCTTACGACATCCACGGAAAAGAAAAGAGTGGCCTATTCTATACCAAGACCACACGATCATATAATATTACACATTACAAACAAAGCAGCAACGTTAGTTATGATAAAATTAATATGAACTATACAAAAATAAACCCTGTAATTGCAAAAAGCGTTTTTCAATTCAGAATTAGCAAACATCGCATAGAAATACTTAAATAATAGGCCAACAAAAGAAGGAAGATTTTGAAGACAAGAAAACAAAACTTCAACTTTTATTAGCCAACTTAAAAAATGAATGCATATTGACAGAGAATCCCAATTTGAATATATTATTTGTAAGTAACGTGTTACGCGATGACTTTACACATTTTGATCCTTTGCAAATTTTATTGAAATAAAAGACATTCAAATAATAAATAAATTGTTAAAATCAAGGGTTTCATTATTTATTAATTAATTGTAAGGATTTACCTTCAGGACAATTTAATAAATCAAGAATTTAATGATTTACATTTTACTTAAAGGTTTCACTTTCATTAATTTTGTTAAATAGATAGATATTGGTATTTTAATTAATTAATTTTTTGCTGTGTTACATTCATATAACAGAAAATGAAACAAACTAAAATTAAATGGTACCACACCATCCGATCATGTGAAGATACAAACCGCACCTCGAGTACCTAACCTTACATAAAAAGATCTTTATATAAATAGTACATACCTACAATAAAATAAAAGTCCAATAACTTTAGTTTTATAGATATACGGAAAGTTTTGAAAAGGAGAAATAACTTTTTGTTACCATGGTGACAATATTGTAAACAAAATTATGAGAATACGGTAGATGTGACACGGACACTATCATTGTGACGTTATAGTTTTATGTCTTTAAATTACAAATTCTCAATAATAAAATTATAAAAATTCGAGAAATATATAATATAAAGATACAATAAGTATACCAGTAATATGCTTCCAAATAAATTAAAAATAATAATGATTGGACCTTCAGAGGTAAGTAATATATAATTCTAACCTAGTCTATTTCATGGGATCTAAATAAGACGCTTATATTACTATATGTACTTCATTAGGTATCATTAATTAGTCACGATATCATAGATTATATACAATTTTTTCTAACATTAGTAACAATCATTATGTAAATAATTTCTATCAAACAATAGAATCGATTCTAAGGTACCATTCGGATCTCATCTCAAACTAAAACATTTCTCTAAGATATAAATTTTAATTTATGATATAGATTTAGCGAATTGGTGCCTCAAAATTAACTCCAATATCTATTAAATATACTTGCACAATTAAGACAATGGTACAGTTTTTATGCATACAAATATCTACCTATAATATAATATCTATGTTTCTGAATTTATTTTCACGATGAAAATAATACTATTTATTTAAAGTTTCCTATATGTTACTTCAGGATTTTCTCTATCTGTGTACCAAATTTTACTCAATTCCGTTTAGTCGTTTAAGCGAAGATTAAGCATAAATTTAGTGCAAACGTTCCTATAATAATAAAAATTATAAAAAACGAATTCCAAACACTTCCACAGGAAAAAGGAGATAAAGTTTATGTGATTGTAAGACGAAACAGTAAATTTTATGTAATATATTCATAATTTTAATTACAGAGTGGGAAAACCCAAATCGCTAATTTCATATCTGAGTCAATAAATATAGAAGAAGCTGGCACGCCCAGTCCAACCCAAGGCGTCAGGATAGTAGAGTTCGAAGTTTCCAACCTAAGCATTAACGGAAAAATAACAAACATCGATATAGAACTCTGGGACTGCAGTGGCGATCATAAGTAATTATACAAGTATAATTTTAACACCATTACCGTAACCATATCACTGCTAGGCTCTTGTCTCTTCCCATAATAAGAAGCTTCTAAGTTATCACTATTATACGCTGGCTCGGTAGCTTCGTAAGTATTATATAGGATTTTATTTCAAATTTTTCCTCTCTTACGGTGTTTTTATAAGGAGTGAAAATGAAATTGTAACTCTGACTACATTATCAGTATTTACTGATACCCCACCAATATAAGATGATAGGTAAGGATGAAGCAGGTCAGTCGGCATACCATGACAAATTCAGCAATAATTATCTCCGATTGATTTTAAAGGGAACTGCTTGGAGATAAACCTGATACAGTCTATTACTAGCAATGGATCAATTAGACCCCATTACTAACAAATCCTTTCCTCCCATTCTTACAGTGTTGTATAGTGCTTTATACACTTAGTCGCTACTTGCGTTATTGTAGTGGTGACATATATCACCATAATGAGAACTACGTGAGGCTTAAACGCTCAGCCTTATTACTACCGTGTAACAATAATACATACTTTATCAACAGCCATTGAAGTTCACCTCCAACACAAGAGCGTTAGAAGGATTGTGTAAAAAATGCTTCTAGCTGTTGCTCTTATATAAACAATACACAACAACATGAATAAGTAAGCTATATCGATTGAAAAAGAAAATTCGTACCACATTGGCAACGATATAGCATAACAGATGAATTAAAAACCTCCCCGTTTTATTATATCTATAGTTTTAGTTTCCACGTGATTCATAATACATTATGAATCATGCGGAATATATCAGTGAATACGTCTTAAAAACAAAGGTATTTAAAACCGAATTCTCTTTGCTCTGTCTACTCCGTAAACAAAAAGATGTTTTGTTATATAACTATACCTATTTAGACCAAATAATACGAAATACACAAAATATAGTTTTTGATAAACATAATTCAATTAAAATAAAAAATTGTTATATAATACTTTTAGTTCATAAAATCTATATCTATTCAACAGAAAAAAAATACTAAGTTTATAATCCATATCTACTGTAATTTTACCGACTCATCATTGATAATAAATGTCAACGATAAGTATATCAGGATATCTAGTAAATATTATCTGCTCAAAAATGGTAGATAACATATAGGGACTTGTGTATTTGTTAGGCATCTTTAAAAACAAGGAATTTCTTAATTCGATTAATTTTTGTAATCATATTTCTAATTATTATAATTATCTTTGCCAATGATTATAAATAAATTTGGCGATACTTTTTAATGGAGGTTACTTCCACTTTTCAATTTCAAAAACTTGTTAACAAGCAGTTAAATCATAATTTTTTGTTAAATCTATTTGAGGGATAGAATATATATATATATATATATATATATATATATATATATATATATATATATATATATATATATATATATATATATATACAACTTAGATCAGCAAACAAGCTGACGACCCACCTGATGGAAAGTGGTAACCGTCGCCTATAGACATGAGCAGTACCATAGACATAACAGAAACATAATACATTTCTATAAATATATATACTTATTAATATATATGTTAATATATATAATAAGTACACATATATTTATTTAAATGTATTATGTTAGATAATATATCCAAAATATCCTTCCAATATATTATAACATTTAATGCCCATTTCTATAGAAGACCTACCAACTTTTTTAAACGTTACTTCGAAGCAGCAAGTTTGTATTTTTTACTGATATTAGGATTACTGAGATCGTTGTTTTTAAAAAACAGCCTAAGATGTTTTTGTATCTAGAAAATGTTTGCGTATGTACATTGTGAAAATATTTGCTTCTTTAAATTTTTCTCTTAGTGATTCACAAGTTCCTATGGAATAAATCGCTTGAATTACATTTTTTGTAATACAAATAAGTTTTGGATAGCGGCTGCTTCACTTCATAATAATATTCCATAGAATAATATACTATGAAATAATAAAAATAAACGAATCTGGCAATATCAATATTAGTATGGTATACCATTTGACCCTGCGTACAGTATACATACATCGTAGAACTTAGTTGCAAGGTTTTGAATGTGAGGACCCCATTGAGTTTTATTATCAAGGGTAATTCCAAGGAAGATAGGATAATCTATAAAATCAAGAGATTCATTATTTTACAGTAGAATTGAAATCATTATTTTTAGAAAGATAAAAATTTACGCATTTTGTTTTGTTTGTACTATGTTGCTATTATTAAAATTAAAGTACTAATCAAAATATTAACATATATATATATATATATATATATATATATATATATATATATATATATATATATATATATATGTGATATATAGACAAACTATTTATGTAAATACAAATGCATTATTTTATTATACATACTTTTGACAGCTAGTTGAGGTCGTTACTATTCCAAAGTTCATTTACGAATAATCTCTTTATTTCATCTGTATTTATTTAGCAGCTAATGATATCGTGTTATTTATTTGTTTAGAAAGTATTTAGAAATTAAAATATTATATTTCTCCAACTCACTTATACGTACGTTACATCATATTATTTTTACTTACCTATCACTTCCGCTATTTATATGTTGTCGCATCAACTAAAAATTCTTACTGATGTGTTCTACTGTTCTTATTAGATAGGCCGTTTAGAAATATTTTGTAAATTAATCAATGTCTAAACAAGGTCTGTTCTTTGAGGTATAAAATGTGACCGATTTGAGAAAATTAATCACAAAGATATTCTGATTGCCTAGTGTGTGTTGTACACAAAGATTTACAACTCGCACTAGGCACTTACTATTAGTCGCCCCCTACGACATCCTAGAGATGAAAAGGAGTGGTCACTTCTTCCATCCCTACAGAGAATAGATATATAACATAAATATCTAAAGTATCACATAATGGATACGAAACTAAATAAACTAGTTATATCCCGCAGATTCGTCCGTGTGAGTCTGTATATAGTGTTTGTTACTCAATCATACTTAAATTTGTTAATTTACAGCTTAACAGATTTGTTACACAAGTAGGTTATGGCATAACTTTTTTTGATACTTAGAATATCAAACAAGCTGACGGCTCACCTGATGGAAAATAGTAACCGTCGCCTATAGACATGACCAAAAAAAAAACAAACTATACTAATATGCCTATGGGAAGTTAACACATACGATAATTTATATCCTAATTCATGCGAGCAAATATGCGGAAATTAAGTAGTATTAAAGGAAATATACCTTGCTCGATGATTTACTTTGACTGCACTAGTCGTAAGCATGATAGACTGGAGTACAGCGATGCCATTATTAGTTTCTGTGACTGGTATCACTAGATTGTTTAACAAGTTTACTGCACAAAGCATGTATGGTATCTACACTAATTAAGCAATTTTGTCGAACATTACTGCACACCAATATACTCATGATTACGACTAATACAAATGTTGAGATGACCTATGTCTACTATCAAATATATCATGTTGGGACCCGACCAACCGCGAAAATTTAACAGTTACTATATTAAAATCCTTTTGTAGACTTCTAAGCCAGTTTATCTTTCGAAACCACACCAGTAAGGAGCTCATTCTATAATCACGAATGGACACTTCATTGAAAACAAAGCTACACGCGATCATTTATGTTCAAGGAATGGAAACAAATTCTCTATATATAGCAGTAAGATGGTAAAATACGACAATGTTCAAGAATTCGTTAGAACACATAGGTAGAACACGCTTAGTGAACTCAAAAACTCTACGGTTCCAATCCGTATGTCAAGTCTGTAATCCTCGACATGGACTGTTTTTGAACCCAGTCAAAAGGGCAAAGTTGGTATACAGTAATTGGTGTACGTACGTACGGTAGTACGTGTATAATATGTAGGTAACACTTTGTCTTTTACCAGCAAAATTTTCAACTAAATTACATTTCTATTTGTTTTTTTTTTAGGTTTGAATCATGTTGGCCTGCACTGCGAATGGGAGTGCATGGTGTGATATTAGTGTGTTCCCCTAGCACAGCTCAAGCAGCAGCTAGAGAGATGGAACTCTTATACAACTATTTTGTATCGCAACCTAAACTATCAACAAAACAATGTGTCCTTTTTTATAATAGTACACATGAAAATGATGATATGGACACATTAAACTTATGTACGTAGTGTAAAATAATTTATATATGTATACACATTGCATAACAGAAAAAGTATAAAAAGCAAAACTGAAAAATCTTCTCCAAGGAATAAAGTAGAAATAGCAACACAGCGCGGATTGTGTGGAAAATTAAAAAAATAATTTTATATTTCAAAACGATCCTTCTAGAAATTAGTTCGCTTTTACAAATGTTTTCGCTGGATTTCACCTTATAAGAACCTTAAATAGTTAACACCCTGTAAGAACCTTAAATACTACTCTATCAAATAACCACCAGACGGTAATTATGTGAAATTAATTCAAATAATGTTTTATATTCTTTCTTTACAGCAGCTACATTTTCTAAGGTGTCACAAGTCTCAGTGAATTTAAAAACTGGAGATAATCGATTAAAAAAGGATTTTTCAAATTTTGTTGCTTCTATTTTACAGACAATAAATGCAAGTAACTGAATACTATCGTCTTTTTTATTTTCTTAATAAATGCATACATGCTCAATATTTCAATAGTTATTTTTCTATGTTAGAAACCTTGTAAGTGAATGTAATATAATTAAATATATCTCTTACCGCCAACAATTACCATTACCTGCTGATTGTACCTATATAATACTTACAATGTTTGAACACACTGCTGGAAATATGTAGATACTGAAAAACATCCATTTTATTATTTCCTGCAACATGTATCATACGCAATGCATTAAATATTCAGTGATACTCAAGGTATTATTAAATCAAGACATCTTAATATAAACATAGATTTATTTTATAATATTGAGTAGGCGTTTTTAGTAAAACTACTCCACAATACAATTAGCCGAAATCTGTACCTATGTATTGGTGTAAATTTCAACAAAGTATGTAGTATTTTAAAGATAAAAAATAATATTGCTTCTAGTAATGTACCTACTTTAATGTCTATTAAAATACGACAGAGTAAATTACGTACCACTAATCACCAACTTTCATTCAGGTCCCCAAACAAAACTAAACAAATACAAATTATCTTAGTAATCAATTGTTTTGTAACTAGCTTTTACAGACCTTGTTATAGAAAACAAAATCTCAATCATAAAACTCGCCCTCAGTCTTAAAACATTTGGCTCTTATGAGTACTTTGTATTAAAAACTTAATTTATTATATAAATATTCTCATTAACACAATTATTCACATATTATATCGATATGACTGATTATGTATGTTCTGTAAAAGTATTTACAATAAACGACCTTTTCCACAAACCTTTTAACCCGTGTAGAAACTAAACAAATTAATACATAGAACAATAACGCTATTCAGAAGTCTGTTATTAATAATAATTTATCACCTTAATCACATTTCGTAATATGTGGAAGGATTCCTAACTCCAGTTGGTTAAAAATAATTTAATACTATCATAAATTATATGTACAACATTAATGTCTATCATTTTTCCAACTACCACGATCATTAAAATTTTTCCGTTCTCGATGACCTCTTCCAGAACCTCCCCGATTCCACCTATCGTTACCACGACCTCGATGTCCACCTCTATTAGGAAATCTTGGAAAGTTTTGTTCTCCGTCCATAAAATTAAAATCATTTCCTGGACCATTAAAACCCATATTTGCAAAATTATTGGGACCACCAAATTTATTATTAAAATTGTGAGGAATATTAGGAGCTATTCCCAATAATCCCGGAGTCGGCCCAGAGCGTGGATCTGGTACTGATTGACTAAAACCATGCATAGGCCCTACGTTCATATTATTTATACCTCCCAAACCCATTGGTGGGATGTTCATCATGTTCATATTACTAGAGTCCATATTACCAGGTGGAAGTGCCATATTACTATTTATTCCAAATGAATTCACATTTTGAATAAAGTTTGGAGGCGTTTTTAATAAAGCTTCTTTAGGTTTGGGCAAATAAGTAAACTCGCCATTTTCTCCTAAAGATACACCTAAGCTAGTAAAAATATTGCACAATATACTATTATTTTGTAAAAATGCAAGATCGAATTTTTTACCAGGTATTTTTTCTTGTTGGTACTGTTTAATCATTTGACTAACAGGAGCTAAATGTTGATTTACGAATATTTTTTGAGTAGAGCTTAATTCTTTATACCAATTCGAATTTTGCAAAATGTTTGGAAGCTCTAAAGTATTTAGTTTTTGATCTAAATTTACCATTTCAACTGTATCTTTTGGTTTTCTCCTCGGATCTACCCTTGGCGTTGCAGGTTGGGTTGGTATAGTCGACTTTTCACTATCGCTATTTGATTCTTCTAAAGATAACCGAAATACTTTTCTTAGTCTAGGATCTGTTAAAGCTTGAGATTTGGCAGTACTATCTCTAATATCAGTATAATCCGGTCGTGGTATATCAATTGGTATTAATTTATAAACCATTGGCGGGTGACTATTTATTGAACCATTTATTTCTGTGGCAGGAGTATAATTATCTATTGGTTTGAAAGGTAAGCCTAAACGAAAATCTATATCACCACTAGCGCTTTGACGCAAATCTGTATCTCCAAAAGTAGGAATTTTGTACTCAGTTTGCCGTAAATCAACATCAGTTCTTCGACGGCCATCAGTGGGTTCACCATCAATGCATTCGTATATCGATACACGTTGTGGTTTTTTATTAAGTACTTTATTCATTTCATGAACTTTCTCAGGAGACCTTCTAGACCTAGGGTCCCTAGATTTAGGAGAACTGATTTGTTCTATGGTGTTCTCGACCTTATTTTCATGCAAATTATTTTTCATCGTATGCAATAGTTTTGTTACTTCTTCACTTATGTCAATTTTTGAAAGATCGCCAAGTCTACTCAAAACTGATGAAGGTTCAATAACATGCGGTGCTGGGGTTTGAGGTGATAAAGATGCAGGTCGTGGTGATGAAGCTGGAGATTTCTTTTTATTTCCTTTTTCTTCGTCACTAGAGTACCATTTTTCGTCAATCAATAAATTATCTTCATCATCAGTTGTAGAGCGACGATGTCGTTTCTCTGGATTTTTGAATATCGGTTCAGGATGTAGAAATCTTATATCCGTATCAAACTCTTTTTTCCCTGGATTATCTTCGATGCTTGTTTTTAAAACTCTTGAACTATCATCATGAAAAGGGAGGACCCTGTGATCAACATCCTTTGTTTCAACAGGAATTGAAGACTTTTCATTTTCAAAAGACTCGTTTGAGACGTCAATATTCTCTTTATCTTTCGATGCAAATTTCAGGGCATCTTTTGTGTACTGATCAATATCAATCATATCTTTGTTTGCTTGCTGATCCTTTTTCAATATAGTGGTACTATTAGAAATATCTTCAGTTCCCGACACCGTCACAGACGGCCGAAATCTCATATCTACATCCTTTCCAGCTAAATCGGATACTACCAAATTACTTGAAACTGGAACTACTGGAGGTACTCTTAAATCTAAATCTTTAGTACCAGATGTACCACTTACAAATGTCTGAGACGAAGATTCATTGCTAGAATTTATTAATCCTAGTTTTTGTATATTCATGGTATTTAATTGTATCTCAGTAATCTGTTTCAATGAAATGCCTATACTATTCAATTGCAATACAGTTAACTGCCCCAATTGATCTAGATTTTCTATTCCCATTTTGGTTAAATCTGAAATTTGCCGAGGTGTTAATACCCCAGTTAAATTTTTAATACATAAAATGTTTGTATTACCAGAATTAGTAGTAGGCGATAAATTGACATTGAAATTTTGGTTAGAATTATCATTCTGCCATCTAGATTGTCGCACCTTAGGTGAATTTTTATTTTGCCTATTATCATTATTAAACTGATTGGACTGTAAATTATCTGTCACATTTTGTGGATTAGGAATATTCAATTCAAAAAGAGAAGGTATAGTCTTTTCTTCCTCTGCGTTTTCAGTAAATTGTTGTATTAGTTTTGTTTGTGTTGTTTGAATCATTTGTAAAGCACCCTCTCTATGTAGTCTGGGAAAATCACCTAAAATTTCTTTAGGTGCAGATTCAATATGTTTTAAGAGGATATTTTTCAAAGCTTCTGTCAATGGTTTACCATGAGCAAATTTACATTCATCTTTATATATGCAGGGAAGCCCAGTGTGATAATATTTACAAGGAAAGTCAGCATGCATATATAAACATTTATCTCTTTTCGCACAGCAATCCATCATATAAAATTTGCATAATTCCATTTTTCTAGGAGGTTGAGCATCATGTGAATATATACAATCATCACCTTTATGACACTTGCCTTGCATATAATACAAACAAAGTCCATCTGAATCGTGCGTCTGATGTGTACCTCTTCTTCGGTCATTTTTATTAATTTTATTACGCTCTCGTTGCGGCGGCCTATGTCGCTGGGTGCGATGATGCTGTTGTTCACGGGATTCATGACTACTATCTGAAGCATAAGAGTCTCTGTCGTCTTCCGGGTATGATGAATCTACTGATTTTTGCACAGGAGACGCACCCCTCACACACATCATTTCGTTCTCATCCATTTCATCTGCATATTCTTGTTTTTTGCGCTTTTTACTGGGTCCTTCTTTGCTGTCATATTTTTTTCTTTTTTTATGTTTACGCCTATCTTCCCCATTATCTTCCACAAGACTATCTGCATCATCATTTTTGTTCATCGCTTTCCTAATAGCCTTTTCAATAGAACCTGCGAAATCATCCTCTGTTGGACTGGAATATTTGCGACTCTTTTTACTTTTATCTTTATATTTTTGATCTCCTTTATTTTTTGATTTCTTTTTCTTACCTGATTTAGAAAACATATAATCTTGGGATTCATTATTTTCTTGAGTTGTTTTTTCTGGAACTGTCGCATCTTCTTCCTTTTCCACGTTCTGCGTTCCCACTGGATCCTCTCCATCGCTTTCGATCTCGCCGTCTTCTAAATCGTCTATGTTATTTGCCGTATCAGCCATTTTAAAAGTGTCGCTGAAATTGAAAAAAAAAAATTATAAAATATAAAACAATATAGGTACATTTTATTTATTAATACTTAATGAGTACATATAAATTCTATTCAATATCAGTATGATGTATTTATCAATGACTACAATATATCAATAAAAAAATAAAAAAAGACTATTATAAAATAAAGATCGTTCGAGTTAGGAAATAATAAATCAGGATAAATACGGAACAATACAAATGATTGCACTTGAGCGAAACAGCTTTTTATATATACTTATAATTTTCTTAAACTTATATAGCATTTGTCAAAACCGACCTTGATAAATAATTACTACAAAATAACTAATACCTATCAATAGAAGATATAACGAAATATAAATTTGGCAGTAGAATTTAATTACAATAATTAAATTTTATTCATATTTTTATTTAAATTGAATATAAATTATGTCCCATTGTACGAGATACGATTTATCTGCCTACCTAGGTTCGTTATCAGTATGAGTGAACAAAGACAAATTTAATACTCTATAACCTTGACAAAAAAAGATACAAAAATCCTTAGTACAATAATACCTATTAATTGTAATTGTATATCCATAACATTTTCAATACCTACGAATTATTTAATTACCTAATAACATCTACATACCTACCTACCTAACAACCTCTGTAACTGAAACTAATAATTGTGGATACTATTGTAAACTTTAACAAATAATAGAAGTATAGGTATGCGCCGTTATATTTTTTTAAATATGCCTTTCACGAAAACTTATGTTTTTATTTGTTTTAAACGTATGTTCAACACATACAAAAACATAAGTTTCATGTAATAGTATAAGTACGCCTCGGACAATAGCTTTACTCATTTTAAGTCAAGTTGCTAAGTTATAAAGAATATGATATCTCTCAATTTAACATATTCACTAATATTTGGTATATATAAAAAATGCTAAAATTATATTTACGAATAACCAAATGTGATATTTATTTTTAAATGCCAATGGCTTAGTGATATGTCATGTTAAAAATAGTTGGTTAACTGCGCAGGAAACAGCCATCGGCCATCTTTTTATTATACGACTAAGTTGAAGAGAATGTTGTTGAACACTGCTAGAGTTCAACATGATTATAATTATTATAGATCAATAACTACATAAAGAAATGTAACAAAGGGATTGAAATGTTCTTCAAATGATAAATTGGAACAATGAATGTGTAAAAGAAACTACATATTATTATTACCTAGAATAATGGCCATTATCAAACAACGCACACTGTTACGAAACCTCACACATACATTCTTAAATCATACCCTACTCTTCTTTCAATATATTTACAAGAGGACTAATTTAGTCTCACATTAAAATAGTCAATGTTTTAAAATATTACTAATAATAACCATTTACACGGGATAGTTAACCGTGTCGTCTTAAATACTATACCTAATAATCGTTGGAACAATTATCATTAGGATTAGGCAGATCTCCAAATTTCACAAAATTACTGAGTTGTTGCGCAGTGAGAAATTCAACATGTATGGCAGAAGTCAGTATTGTAACTGTTCATAGCCACAACTTTCAAGTAAATTAGATACTAGGCAAGACAAGTGGGTGTCCGTTCACATTTCACAATGTCTTGCTTGCTGCGCTCTCGCCACGATTTGAATGACGTCAGCGTTCTAGAACGTCAAGCTATATGTGTGTCCTTCCTTAACGAGGTCACAATGTGTATAAATTCACTCACACTTCTATGCAACCGCGTAGGTATGACGTGACAATACAATGACTGTATTACAAAATGACATCTTAATTTGGCAGCATTATATTTAAATTATAATATTTTCATATTACACAAGTTTTATAAAAGTAAATTAATATGATACCTAGTATTTTTTTATAAAAATACCGATAACCGACACCAGAAATAACCCTTTGGAAATAGATGTACTTACATAATTATAAACATAAAATAAATATACTTAAGGTATATATAATATTCAATTTAGGAAATATCTAGATGCTTAAATTTATAAAATTAATAAAAGATAAAGTTGACATGCACATCAAAACTAAAAAAGTTGCATTATAATACAACTTAGGCAATCGGAAATGGACCGCCATTTTGTTACAATGTAAAATTTATTATAGAATATCGACGATTATTTACCAATTTAGTTAAAACGCGCAAATGTAAATAGGTGTGTAACATTTGATTTATTGCACGTGTGTAATGAATTCCTTGTAGCTGATCAAGCACTTCAGTAAAAATTATGGGGCACGCATTCATAAAATTACCTAGCAAGTAAATAATATTAAGTGTTACCAAGCTTACATTAATGAACGATTCACTATGTGCGACTACTATACGCCATGTAAAATGGAATCTTTCATAGCATTGCTGCATAAAGACGTAACAATTCGAGTACGCAATATTGATTTCGGACGACGACTGCAGCAGAACAAAGGAAAGGGCAGAAAATATTTAGTTCCACTTTTTTCCACCTAGAGCTTGATGACGCTACTGTAACAAACGGAAATGACAGAATTATCAAGAAGATGATTCTTAAATTTATAATTATCGTATTCAATAATACCACCATATTTTACGCTTGATTAATTATAATTTAATAATATGTGAATATATGCACCTTATTATCATAAAAAATATATTGCCTTATTTAGCTCGCAAGTAATATAAAAGTGTAATGATCTGTGAAAGTTCCTAATGTGTTGCTATATGAAAAAAACATAAAAAAATTAATAAAAATTTACATTAATAGTTTTAGTTTTGGAGATTTCTCAGTGATATTTTTAGATTTTTTTTTTCAAAATAAGTGAATATCTGCTAATGATTTTCTTATTATTTTAAATTATTCCATCATATCATTAAATAACATTTGACAGTCATGCAAAAATATAATTACGTGTGTCAGTAGTGTGATCACTTATGTCAGCATTTGTCATTTTTATCAATTGTTCGTGATAAGTCAGCAGTTTTTGAAAACACAAAATTTAATTATAATGTTAAAGTTTTATTAAAAATTGCATTTCCAGATGTTATCTCGCCTATAATGTGATTAAATTAATTAAAACAATAATTCTTTTCCATAATTGTGTAGATATTTAAAATTTTTACTATGTCCGAACCGAATAATCCATTCGCTGGTCTTCTTGGAGTATCAGATGTTAAAACTGCCAACAGCGTCGAATATACGGAAAGCGCGACACAGTTACAAGGGTCATCAAATAAATCACAAGGAGATGAAGAAAATGTGATAATAAACAATATAGTAGAAAGTGTTTTTCACTTCACAATCAACCCTAATGCTATTGATGGGTATATCTCAACAGATAGGCAATTAGTGTACCTTGAAGAACTCGCTGAAGCTACAAAACCTCGCATATACATTGATTTAGAAGCACTAGAACAAGCGCTTTTTGAAAGATTACTTTTACCTGATATTGAATCCTATGTTATACCTAAAACAAATAAAACATTTAGAGAACATGTAATTCAAAAACAAGTTTTTTCATATTTGTTTAGTTCTTTTCAAAATCTACAGACTTATGATCATAGTTCTTCAGATGTTGTTAAAAATGCTTTGCAAAAGATGAAAGAACTTATATTTAGAAATGCAGTAACAGCACTCAAGCAGCCAGCTTTATTCGAAGGACAAGATTTTTCATCACAATTAGTTGAACTTTTACAGCATGTTGACCCACAGAGCCAAACATTTTTTTTAGATGTTGTTAATGCATTTGTTGCAGATGGTAAAAATTTATTTATTTATACCTATGTGATTAAATACAGTTTGGTTTCATTGCTGATTTTATTATCTAAAAGGATTCACATTAATATTACAGGAGATAAAGAGACCCAACAGCAACTTCGTGATACTATGATACCTGTGTTACAGAGAATTCACACAGATGTCAACAAATCTCACATAATCAATCTGCCCATTTACATATTGCCTTCAATACATCTTTTTGCAAGTAAGATTATAATTACTTATCTGTGTCATATATATATCATCATATGTATTTATATATATGGTAGTATTTAGTAATTATTTATAATACCTTTATTAATATTTATTAATACTTATATTGTAGTTACTAAAACCTAAAATTATTGTTTTTGTAGTGCTATGCTGAGATAGTACCTTACATGATCACAATAACATATAAAAAGTATTTAACAATAATTACAGAATAATTTGTTAACTCTTTATAAATATTTACAAATATCATATATACTCCTTTCCAGATGAAGTCTATTCATACATTTTCTGTGCTATAGAGAGATTAATGATAATACAGTGAACACTATATAAGCAACACATTTGAACCAATTTCAATAAAAAAAAATCTTATTGGGAAAAGTTGCTCATAGGGAAAAAAGGAGTATAAAAATACTTTACTATCTGGAAAATATTTTTACTTATTTCTTTTACTAAGCTGAGTAGAATAAATAAAATATAAAGAATTTTGCTTATAGAGATGTTGCTTATATAGTGTTCACTGTTTATATAAATGTATGTTTTATTACAGGTAACACAAATTTAGCACCTGTATTAATGGAAGTATGTGAACCAAAAATCGAAACAAATGGCAGACTATACCAAGATTCTATTATTGGAGCATTGCTTAGTCTCTCTGTTCTGCCAAAGACTCCAACATCTCTTCATGAGTTTTTTGATAATCCGTTAGATCAGGTAACTAATAAAAAATTTATATGTCTGTTATTTACACTTTATGCTTGTTTTCTACATTTTAAATTATGTGTTACATCATACCTGTCTCACATTGAAATGAACAAAAACACTAATTATAGCAAACCTATTTTCCCTTTTCTGTATTTATTAATCTGCTCATACATGGTCACCAATTATTATGTGATAATGTAATACACTAGAGGAATAAATTAAGGGATCAAAAAAAATTCCAAATTTTTGAGGTTTTTCAAGTAGCTGTATTTCCCTTAAAAATGGTCATACTGGAATTAAAAAAAAAGAATTTTTAGGCTCAAAGTTTCTAGTTTTGAGATCTAATGATGAAAAAATTTTTCAAGCAATGTGTTCCGCTCAAGTGGTAATTTTTATGTAGGTAGTCACTCCATCACCATATTTGATCTATATATGTCTATTTAGATAGATTGCATTTGCTCTTGATTCAAAAAATATTACAAAGAAAATATTTATGAAAGTATTATACTTTAAAAAAATTTTCAGGCAGCTACATCATTAATTGAAACATCCATTTGGAATGCATCTTCTCATCTTGTAAACAATATGCACAAAATATTCTTGACTTTATTGAAAGGTGGCCCTCACATGAGGAATCGCTTGTTATCTTGGATAGGAAAATGTTTGAAGACAAATGTGGCTAGAGGAAAACTATGGAATGTGCAGGTAGAAAAATTATCTTGTGTATCTTTTATCCTACCAACAAATATTAATATTTCAATGGTTATTAAGAAAATGAAAATTTTAATTATGTAAATCACACTTAATTGGCTAAATCGATTTAAATAACATTTTATTAACAATTGGACCATAAGTATTAAATTAACTTATAGGATTTTTTTCATAATCTATGCAAACAATATTATTTGTAAATCAAATGGACTTTTTAGTATTATTATAAGCATTGTATTTTTATTTAAGCAGTATACTATATATATATATATATATATATATATATATATATATATATATATATATATATATATATATATATATATATATATATATATTATTAACAATGTTCTTTTTTACAGGCTAATGAGCTAAATCCAACCACATTGAGCTGTGTGTCGGATGGTTTTATGTTAAACTTAGGTGCAGTGTTATTACAGCTATGTCAACCTTTTTGTACAACACCAGAAGATCCTAAGTGTCTTAAAATTGACCCAACATATGGAGCAGTACTTGTAAGTCAAATAAAATTTTGTGAAAATACAAGAACAGTTTTTGCATGTTATATTATTTTAATAAAGCTGATGTCCAACAGCTGTATCAGATATGATACAGTTGTGGTGGGGGCGCTACTGTGCTCCCTGAAAATATGAATTTTAATAAAAACTTAGGTAAATTGCAGTTGAAGAAACATTTCATTTGAATTTCTTACAGCCAGAAGAAAGTTTGGCTAAATCAGTCCATTTAGACTGCTTACATAGTGAAACATGTTTATTGCCGGCAAGAGAAGGTGATGACGGTCAACCAATAAAAAGATCAACAGCAGATACATATAACTTTGTCACAGAATGCTTTTTCATGACTCAGAAATGTATTGACTTAGGTAAGTGACTGTGTGTGCCAGCTTCTATTCCCTATCAATATAATACTAGGCAAATTAATTATCAACTTTCGTAGATCTAAATTAAGAGAGGGAGAGAATAATTAAGAGGTTTTTAGTAGTTTGTCAAAAAAATGCAGCCCGACCAAATGAACCATGAAGCAGTTTACACCATCACTAAATAGTATAAAATGAAGCAGTTGATGTTTTGTAATCAAGTAATAATAAAACTCAACAAGGAAGCTTACCAAAATTGACGCCATTTTAAAGTGTACTTGACAAAAATGTACTTTAATAGATATCCTAAATAACGATGGAAAAATATAATTGTTAATATTTATTTTCTCGTCTATCACTGCGGATTAATTCAGAGATTAAGTTTGTTTAACATTATAACAACAGCGCTATCATTGAAATGAATTTATTGAAAGCTACCATACTACACCTGTGTGAGTCGGTAGTTTTTTTTATGGGTGAAGATGGAATGGTAACTCCACCCCGCCTGTGCTATCAGTATATAATGGTGTGAAGGGTGACAAGTGAGGATAAAGGCAGGTCAGTTGGCCAATAGTTACCAATTTAACAAGAATTTACCACTATGGTTTCCAAGGGGAACCACGTGGACGTTGATCTGATAGCGTGTATTGCTAGCAATGGGGCTGGTAAATCTCATCACTAACAATCCCTTTCCCCCCTGTGAGTTGGTAGTAGGTAAATATATAATTATTATTATAACTATGACCAATAAGGAGTGCGAGTGTGCGCGGAGAAATTGTACCGGTATGGTCAGGAGTTGGGCCGCGCCCAGCGAGCCATGGCCGACGTGGCTGCTAGCGCACACCACCTGCTGGAACCGATGCGTCAGCGTGTACAAAGGCTTATGAGCAAGTTAGTTAGAATTATTAACTTTTATTTTCCTTTTAAGCCAGATAGACCTGTTTCTATACGGACATTCTACCTTTGCTTTTCCACTTTTTTATATTGTTTTCAAAGTACATTTATCTTACAATCACTGTCTACTGCTGAACATAGATCTCAGTAATAGTCAGTATTTGCCACGCTTGGCAGATGGGTTAAACCGCAATGGGGCCATTGAGTTCCCTTAGTTGTTTCTTTCGACACCTACAGGAAAGGAAAGGTGGTCCATTCTATGCCGGGGCTACACGGCAATTATGTAATTATTATTATTTTGATAATTATTTAAAAAAAAAACTTTTTAAATTAGAATGTACTTATATTTTATTTGTATGTATACAATATCTTATTATTTTTTATTACATGAAAATGAAATGTAATTAAAAAGAAAGATTTTTAAACAAAATTGAATACATACTTATAATCATTACTTTCACCTACATATGTATATTGTAAATGGAATGACTAAGCGTATATCATAATAATAATATTGTGCATTTAATTATTAGTCATATTCACTGTATTGTTCAACAGATTCGTAAGCCTGCGCTGTGCACTTCTAGAGAATGACATGCTGACGAATTTAAACCGGCTTCAAGCCACGACATGTACTTGGCTGGTGCAAGTGGCAGTGCGGCCGGATGCTCCCCAACCGCAGTCTACGTATGCGCCTGTGGCTCTAGTGCCCCTCAACATGCCTGTGACTACCCCACCGCCAGACACATTGAGGTTTATTTCCACAAATTTATTCCGGTAGTTTACTTACAATCTTATTAAATTCTATTGGATTAAATGAAATATTCATGGTAAGCTCGCTCGGTCACTGCCACACACACCAGTGCTTCTAACTGCTCCTTTAGGAATTATTTATTTATTTATAGGAACATCAACAGCATATTGCATTATAACACATATAACAAACATTAAAACAATACAATATTAATGCACATGCCTATTAAAAGTATTCACAGGATTTGCTTTAACATAATTATTCAGTATGAAATGAAGTAAACAATTTTAAGGAATTAGATAATACTAGACTACAAATACTTTAAAACCTTATTAATTATGGAAAAAAAAAAAAAAAAATATATATATATATATATATATATATATATATATATATATATATATATATATATTATACTCGTGATTAGGATATTCATAATATAAGCATATCTTTTTCTATTGAAATAGACTTGTATGTCTAAATAAATAGTTCCTCTTACTCCTCTAGGCTATATCCAATTTTTTTGTAATTTATTCTTTCACTTTTATATAGTTTTGTGTTTTACTTTAATAATATGAGCAAAAAGAATTGAACTAGTGAGAATTTTTCTTATATTCTACAGATGTATTCCAGAATTCGTATTAGAAAATATAGTAGTGCTGATAACAATGGCTCGTCGAACAGTTGGTGCGATCACCGAAGAAGCCGACATTGCGGGACTCTTGCGTCCTGCTCTCTCCCTCGTCCTAACTTTCATGGGCGACTCTAGTCGAACATACAATCCGCACTTGAGGTAATATTAACAACTAATTATACGCCAGTTATAAGGTTTACCCACGTTTATTAGTATGAAAACTCCTGTGTGTTGTTTTGTGTCAGGATATGGTCAATATATATATTTTTTATTTTTAAATTACTCTATTTTATTTTGACAGAAAAACAAATTATTTGGAATACTAATGTAAAATCTGTGATGAGCATCATTCTCTATAACTATTCTATATCTTTTTTTTTTTTTTTTTTCTAATTTTTGTTGAGGCTTTAGTACACCGGAGTGACTATGCCAGCCTCATAGGGATTGTCTGAAAGTCAGTCTGTCAGTCCGTCAGGGACACCTTTACCCACAGATATAGCCGTCTTGCATTGCGACTGCCAGGTTGACTCAGTATTACATTGACATTACCGTTATATAATGGCATATCGCCCAGAATCCGCTGTTTCAGGTTACAATTCCGGCCACATTCCACCAGCAAATGTAGAAGATCTTCCACTTTGTCACAATACATACAATTTGGTGATTGTTTCATTCCTATAAGATGATAAAATTTGTTGAGTGGAACATGACCAGATCGCATCCTGAACGCTATCACTAAATACGGTCTTGAAAGACTTGTTGTTTGAAACCAGGGTATTAATGAAGGCATTTGCTGTATAGTTTTATACCATATCCCCTTTGAACCTGAACAGTTTTCAAAGTGGTTTCTCCATTTCGTGACACAATCACTCTTAATTCTACCAGTGAATTCATTTGCATAAGGGTTACAAACAATTTCTGTTCCATCCTCAATAGCCTGTTTGGCTGCCTGATCTACTGTTTCATTCCCTGGCACTCCTATATGTGATGGTATCCATTGAAGTTTTACGGCTACATTTCTTTGTTGTAATATACATACCAGCTTTAAGACCTCATAGGCTATCGGCATACCTCGTGTACCCGAGACACACCGAGCCAAGTGGTGGAGGGCACTCTTTGAATCAGTCAGTATAACAATTTTTTGTATATTTAAGGTGACAGCGTATGCCAATGCTTTAGTAATTGCTATCAATTCAGCTCTCATTATACAGATATTTTTATTAAGTTTCCAAAACATAGTTTTTCCAAACTTCGAATCAAATAGTGCCGCCCCTACACCTCGAGAATCTTTTGATCCATCTGTATATATTTTATGAAATTCCTCATAGTCCGTCTTTAACATATACGTAGTATATTTCAAAACAGAACCATTAATATTACGTTTTGCATTGTTGACATCTTTAACATTTAAACACAAACAGGACTTCACATCAATGGATGTAACCCAGCTATTTAAACTATACATGTCAAGTAAAGGACTTCTGTGGATATCCTCCTCTTTAAGGCTATTGTGTACATAATTAAGATAGGCTTTGTTTTACTATACCAATAGTTACAGTTATATATACTACCGATTGCATGGTTTGGTTATTGGAGACAGAAGCCACTCTCAACCAAAATTTGTACCCCAGCCAATGCCTACGCACAAACAGGGGAGGGAGAGCAAGTTCGGTCTCCATTACATGAATGGGAGTGCTTTTAATAAAGCTGCCACATATTCTATTATTCTGTACAATGTTTAATTTATTAAGATGAGTTTTGGCGCCAGTTGCATACAGAAAGCTAGCATAATCTATACGGCTTCTAATGAGCGAAATGTAAAGTTTACGCAGATGTATTGGATGAACCCCCCATGAGCTTCCTGCAAGCACCTTTAGAATGTTCAATAATTTATAGCTTTTTTCACAAATTTCATTTATGTGTGTACCCCATCTTAGAGATGAATCCATCCACATACCTAGAACTATTCTATATCTACTACTATCTTTTGCCCGCAACTTCGTTTTCGTCGATTTTGGAAGTAGAGAGCCTATTCTAGATAGTGTAACAGGATAAAATATATACTAAATTTTAAGTTAGCCCTTCAGAAATACATCTGTTAAATAGTATCCAATTTAATGGTTTTTTTTTTATCTCCTTTGTCTTCTATGTACAATTAAAATCTAATTACAATTTATTATATTAATAATATTCTTCCTCTTGACTTACATATATATATATATATAATTTTAAGAAACAAAATATCTCTTACAGAACTCTCAACTTATTAAGGAAATTATACCTAAACATAAACCATAAATTGGTCATTTCACAGAGCTAGGTTAGCCGAGTGTCTTGAAGCAATGTTGCCCAACCATCCTGATGACCAACAACCACTCACCAGCTTAGCATCTTTCTCCAGAGAACAATTATTCAAGGAACATCCACATCGATTACAGGTATCCTTTGAATTTAAGTTATTATCAGTCAATGCTGCCAACAAAAATTTAAAATAAACTGAGTTTCTGGCTAATTTTCCAAATTAACTTAGTGCAATTCTGTATAAGTTGTAACATTAAGGAATTTGTATAATTATATATGTAACATTAATTGCGCCCTTACTTCATACACTTTTTTTAAAATAAATAACCGCCCATGTTACATGCTGATTACGTAGCTTTCTATAAGTGAATGTTTAGAATTAGTTTGTTTTTTTTTTTTATTTATTCATTACCAAAAAAACATTTATTATTATACATATTCATTACCTGTCATGTTAATTGCTGCCTACCTTTTTTTTTTTTTGCAGTTGGTGCCTTGTCTACTAGACGTGTTCGTCGGCATTGAAATGACTGGTCAAAGTGTGCAATTTGAACAAAAATTCAACTATCGTCGCCCTATGTATCTTGTTATGGACTTTTTATGGGGTTTAGAAGAGCATAGAGAAGCTTTCACGTAAGTGCACAATATCAAAAACCATTTGGGAAAAAATATTTTATCATCATCAGTATGTTCTAGTATTTAGAATCTCTAAAATAATAATAAATAATAATAAATGTAGTATATAATGTAGTATAAAAAATAATAAATGTAGACTTTTTATATTAAATTCAAAGTGCCAATTGATAGAACACAAACTATAACTTAATGATAATGAGATATGGTTTCTGTTACTGTATTCGTTAACATCTCACTAATGGGTATTAATATTCCCATATAACTATATCACTTATTAACATCCCACCACTGGGCACAGGTCTAGGGAAAAATCCTATTAGTTTACTATTACCACTTTATACATTAATAGCATGATGTTGGTTTTCTTTGGCTTTTCCAGAGGATGAATAGAAGTGGTCACATTTATTGTAGTCTCACTTGAATACCACACAGACAACAAATAACCACATGCTTCCCTTAATAACAACAAAATCTTTTTATTATCCTTAAATTTGATAATGTAAAGAATGTCTGGAAGAGATTGCTTCAGCGATAAAACCACCTTTTGTACTTTATAAATGTAATACATATATTTTTTGTATTATTCTTTAAGTAATTCAATAAAATATAAATGAATATATAAATGTACATTTTGTTGAATATACATAGGAAACAGGAACGTTCATAGGAATAAACAGAAATTATAGGAGCATTATTTTGCATAACATTTTTAGTAATAACTGAAAACAACAAATAATTCTAATATTTTTCATACACTCCTTAGGTACTTGGATCAAATAAAAAAGAAATATATATACTTTATATTCAAATAAACTTTATCTGTTTCAGGCGGCTGGCCCGAGAAGCAGAGGCTAATATGGAGGCAGTTCACCCACCAATCTTTCTACGTTTCGTTAACCTTCTAATGAATGACGCTATATTTCTTTTGGATGAAGCACTCGGAAATATGGCCCAAATACGCACCATGCAGACAGCTCAGTATGTCATTAACTTCAATATTTTATATTTTCATAATTTTTTAATTAACAAATAACAAATGTTCATGTTCCACCATCTGTGCGTGATTAAGCACTTAATGTCCAAATATTTCTCAAAATTTTACTTTTACAAAATTTGTAAGAAAGCGTATGAATATTACTACAAAAATTATACTAGATTATAAAGACGACCAATATATTTTGATTTACCCATACATTTATCGGTGATTTATGCAAAGTGAATCGTATTATTATTTTTATAAAGCTTATTTCGTAACTCTCCAATTCACTCTCTCGTATTTCTTATCTTCCAGAGAGTCTGGCGCTTGGACGAACTTACCCGCACAAGAACGCGAACAAAACTTGGGCAATTTGTCACACATAGGCATGTTGGCGCGCTTTGACAACATCCTTGGACGCGACACTATCCGTACACTAGTGCGCCTGACCGCACATGCGCCCTATGTTTTCTGCCATCCAACCCTGGTAGAACGCATCGCTTCTATGCTCAATTATTTCCTTTTACACTTGGTGGGCCCTAATAAAAAAAACTTTAAGGTTTGTATATTCGTAGAATATGATAATATTCAGAATATTTGCACTTAGTTCCACATTAATTTAGTATTGAGTTATAATATCAATGTACTATATGCAAATACTTTCCCTAATTGTCTGACTGAGTGATTTATTAACGCACACTCCAAACCGCTGGCGTTATAAATATTAAAATTTGAAATGTACGTTTCTTTCATTTTGTAGACATGCACTAAGGAAGAATTTTCTGAAATTCCCACAAAAATGCGAGAAAGAGAATTTGCTTGGGTTTCAATCCATCGTCATTAGGCCGATACAACAAAGTGTATATTATTTTAGGATTTAAACTCCTCTTAATCCATGTTCCATATTAATTTTGTAAAAACATGTATTCTTAAAAAAAAAAACAGCTTTTTATTAACTGTTAAAAACAGGTTAAAGACATGAAAGAGTACGAATTCGATCCAGCGAGCACTGTTTTGGATATCTGCCGCATGTATGTAGAACTGGGCAATAACGAGCGATTCTGTGCAGCCGTCTCTGATGACGGGCGTTCATACTCCCCACAGCTGTTCACCTTGGCTGAAGCAGTGCTAGGTAAGAGTGCATTAAAAAAAATTATGGGCAATGAGAAATCATATTTTTTTAATATATTATTTTTTTTTTTACTAGGATAATCAATATTACCAGTAGACAGCTGAAATCCTGTAGGTAGTGAGATAATTTATTATTATTTATTGTAGTTCGCATTGGAGGCGGTAGTTTGATTGGGTCACTACAAGACGTGGCCTCCCGGGTGAGCCAACTAGCTGAACAACGGCAGCGGGACGAGGAGATATTAGCAAACGCTCCCGATGAGTTCCTTGACCCCATCATGAGCACGATCATGCTAGACCCCGTCATCTTGCCTAGCTCACGCACCACTGTCGATCGGACTACTATTGCCAGGTACGTTTGGCCTATAGCTACCGATAGTACAAGCGGAGATGTAATTTAATCATCACCCAATTAACAAAACTCTTGTCTATGTATTGCAAAACATATTGCTCTACATACATCCATCTTTAAACAATGCAAGATGAGAAAGGTGAATACAAGCTTGATACAACATGTATATAAAAGTAAATGTATGTATGGATAGAATCCTTTGGCGATTTGTTCTTTCTGCATACCCCGCAAGGCATATAGAAGTGAAAATAGAATAGATATAAGATGAACATCGTATTACGCGTTACTAGGAAACATCATACATTATTATGCTAATTTGCTAAATATATTGAGAATCATGTGTCACTCAAATGTCACATGACTTAAAAAAATATAATTAGTAACGTACAAAGATGTCTTTTACTCAATCACCATATCCATACCACACCAGCCGTTAAGTGTCTACTACTGAGCATAGGCCTCCCCCTATCAGGAGGTTTTGCCTGTAGTTGCCATGCTTGGTGGGCAAATTGGTAATCGCAATTAAACTTTGCCGATGTTTAAAGAGGAAGCTGCTGCCCATACCTCGACCATAAGTTAACTTAGCTGCCTCTTACGACACCTACGGGAAAGGAAGGGATTGTACATTCTATGGCTGGACCACACAGCAATTACTCAATCACGCTGCTAAACAATTCAACTACATTAGAACTTTTTATAGGACGTTAAACGACAACAATTTGTTTTCGAGTTCACTCAGGACAGTATTGTTACATGTCATGTTATTATAAAAAAAAACTTAAAACCCATTTGATGAAAAGTGGTCACCATCACCTTTAAAATACATATCACAGAATATACCTCAGGCTTCGCCACTCCTGACTACTAGTGTGCCTCTTGCGTCATAAAACGATGATAACTACACATACATTAGACCATGACATTATGTGTATTATAAAATACACATAATGTCATGGTCTAATCTTACGCATCTGATATTTTTGCCCCTGTTTATATTTTGAAGTGATTACCTAACAATTCAATTTCATACAGATGAAATCCTACACAAATACAGTAGATAAATAATATTGAGATATATATATATATATATATATATATATATATATATATATATATATATATATATATATATATATATATATATATATATATATATATGATATGTCGTATAGGTATAGCTATAATATATAAATTATTATTCTTTCTTTCAGACACCTTTTAAGTGACCAGTCAGATCCATTCAACCGATCGCCACTTTCCATGGACCAGGTGAAATCCAACACCGAGTTGAAAGAAAAAATCCAAGCATGGATTGCAGAAAAAAAGCAAAAAATTGCTCAAAATCAGACCAGTAATGATTAACACAGATTAAGTTAAATCATTAAGCTTTGTAATTTTAAAAGACTTTGTATATTGGAAGCAAATTAGACAGCTAGGTTTAGTTTAATTAATTATTAGATTTCATAATGATCGTAGTCTTAAAATGTCAATCCAAATATAGTAAACTAATAAATTTTTACAAAAGTAGTTTTTTATGGGCACCATATAAGCAAACGCAATTTTCTATGGTATTTTATAATATTATCATGTCTACGTAATACAGGATAGTACTTGTGTCGGTCGTCGAATTTGGACGGTCAAAACTTGACTTCATATAATTTGTTACAATTTGTCTATGCCACAATAATTATAAATCGTGACTGTATAGAGGGAAAAATTTTAATTTTCTATTTCCTTAGTTATGATTTATTATTACAACTCGAACTATACAGATATATTGTAACAATTTGACGTAATATATATGTATATAAAAGAGACAAATATTCGCGACACGATTTGTCTTCTGCCTGTTAAAACGATGATATTACATGATTCATCTGTGATTTAATTTTATGTTAAGTAAAGACAACTATTGGAAGCTTGGGTTGCATATATCGCACATCATTTAATATTACGTCAAATATATCCCATAGCAAAGAAATGATATCTGTTTTTATAGCTATTTGCATAATATTAAGTCATTTATGAGGAAAAATGAGGAGCTTCTTAATTTTAGATTTTTAGATTATTAGTATTTAATCCTATTGTTCCTGTATTAATTTTGTAACAATTGAAATTGTTTGTTATTTTTCTTAAAATAATCCTCAATTATACTGACTTTCACTCTACAGACAGGAATAACAATTTTTCTCTCGTCTCAGTTGCAGTGTTGTGACGCCATTGTCTTCGCTCCCTTATATCTTGGACATTTAATATCCAGGTTGTCTATGACCTACCTCATCCTCTTATTTTTACAATTATGGATGGGCATTTCTTTGCAAGGTGATATTAATTTACCTCAGCCTGTACTGCAATCTGTGCTAGGCACACTCGATTTACCAGAGTTAAAATTACACAGCATATTATATTTTAAGTATTATGCAATCCATTTAGCACTACAGATTTCCTTTATTATAATCGTCTAATAATTCCTATATTTCATATATACTGTCTGAAAATAGTACCGCGAATAATAAAATATATGATGTGGGTCTCTATATTATATTCTCTAGTAAACTAAAATATCATTGTATATATAACAAATATTTCGTCTTCATCAATGATGACTGATATAACAAAACGCATTGTTATAATACTATTAGTACATTATAATTCAGTGACAGTAAGTATATCTAAATAGTCATATATTCATTCTATAATGTTTATCCACAAAATATGTGGTGCAATTTTTTATAATTGAATGTTGAATCACGTCATAAATTAAAGATGTGCACGATTTTAAATTACTTTATTGTAATTCTAAATTACTACATTTTTATTTAACCAAATAGGAATAATTATTTTGTTGCTTGTGTTTCCTTTCAAAATTAACACATTTATATCAAAAGTTTGAATGAAATGGCCTAGAATATTGAATGTACAATGTTTGAAGGTTCTTTTTTTATGGAAAATGTTAAATAAATGAAATATTAATATATTTTTGGTTTATAAAATCGTCGTTGATTCGTTAAGCATACCTACTGTTAATAATGGTTGATTTGATGTATATAACTAATATAAAATATTATTTCTTGTATGGTGTAGATTATTTTACATTGGTAAAATTTTAGTACATATCATTTAATTGAGGTGCAAACTATTTTGTATAGTTAATACAATTTTATTTTCATTTTTGTTCATGTTCAAATAAATATCTTGTGTACACAGTATACTTATTTCATTTTTCTTATATATACGAGGGCTACACTGAAAATTTTTAGAACTGGCTACTTGAAAGCATAAATAAAAATTGTTAAAATTTTGAAAATGGAATTCTACGAATAGTACTGAGTATTAATTTATTCGTTTGTCATTTGTTTTACGGTTTGTCGGCAAATTAAAAATAGTCTGTGTAACGTTATCATGAACTTAACATGAGAAAATTTTCGTGTGATGATTTTTTATGACTTTCGATGTCATCTAAGTCAACAAGAAAGTTATAATAGACTACGATTGGCCTTTCACGATGACGCCCCGTCTCTTTCCACTATTTAATGAGTTTAAACGTGGGAACACTAATCTCACCGATGATGTGCATGAGGGACGGCCTTCTACGGCGACGACTGAAGATAACATCAGTGTTGTGCGGCATATGATAGAGACTGACAAAAGAGTGACCTATCAGCAGATCCGGGCAAGCTTAGGGATTGGTATGAGTCAAGTGCACAAAATTCTTCATGAACATTTGGCGGTCAGGAAGCTTTGTGCCCGGTGGATACCTCATAATTTGACCGAGGCTCAAAAACTCCGTCGTGTTGATTGGTGTAATGAAATGCATGAAAGATTTAACGAAGGTAACTCAAATTCTGTGTTTGACATAGTTACGGGAGACGAAAGCTGGATTTACTGTTATGATCCCGAAACTAAAAGACAGTCAGCTCAGTGGGTGTTTCCTTCCGAGGAGTTGCCAACTAAAATGAGAGATCGAAGCGTAGGAAAAAAGATGGTGGCCTCGTTCTTTGGAAGGACAGGTCATTACGCGACAATTGTTTTAGAGGATCGAAAAACAGTTACTGCAGAGTGGTACAGTAACAATTGTTTGCCACGTGTTTTGGAAAAAGTGCGTGAGAAACGAACTCGCAGTAGGATCCTCCTTCACCACGATAATGCTTCGTCGCACACCGCCAGACAAACGATCGATTATTTGGTGACCTCAGACGTAGAACTACTGGGTCATCCGCCTTATAGCCCCGACCTCGCACCTTGCGATATTTATTTATTCCGAAAAATAAAAGAAAAACTTCGAGGAAAACGTTTTATGGACGCCGAGGAAGCTGTGGCTACGTTTCGGAAGGCCGCCGAAGAAATCCCTAAGGACGAGTGGGCAAAGTGCTTTTCTCAGTGGTTCTATCGAATGCAGCGATGTATTGACGTGAATGGACACTATTTTGAAAAGATAAAATAAAGGTAAAAACTTGCTAATTTAATCAGTTTTTTATTTTCTAAGGACTTTCAGTTTGACTCTCGTATAATAAACTAAGTGTAAATGTAAGTGACGACGCATCGCGTATGCAAATCCACCAGCGTAGTGCTCTGTTTTGTGTGCACACTCGTTTGTGTGTCGAGTATTTATTTGAAGCGCTGGCGGATCCACATACGCAATGTGCAGTCATTCAAGACCGACACTAAAACCTATGATTAAAAAAAATGGAAATAAATAATTGTACTACTTTATTATTGTTGTGTTACTTTATGCATTATTTTCTGACCAACTACATCAATTATCATCAGATAAAAAATAAAATTTATCCACGAGATTTCACTAAATGATTTAGCTATTTGTTTTTATAGCACTTAGGGATAATATAATTTCTAAAAATTAAATAATTTTTAAAATCAAAGCAGTAGTATCGGAGATTACTCCGAACATCCAAATTCACAAATTTAACCTCTTTTTAATATTCACCATTATCTTCAATTCAGCCATTATTCGTCCACTGCTAGATAGATTTCTATTTCAAAATTATATTAGGCTATCATTTATCCGTGACTTCGTCCTTTAACTGGGATATATTTACTAGTCAGGATAATAAGTAGTCAATATCCTACTCCATCCCATATAGTATACGTATACCAAACTTCATAGTGATTGCTTGAATCGTTAAGGTGCTACTAGGTAACAAACAAACATACATGGCAGGCGATATGCATCCCAGCAGCCCTTGTCAATGTAAAAACAAAAAATAATAAAATAAAAAATGGCTGATTACCATTATTAAGACAAAACTTAAATACTATAATTATATGAACATTAACTGAACTTGCTGACTAATATTAACTAGTGTAGGTAACCAAAATCCTAGTCCTTTTTTTTTTAATACTGATCCTAATCCCAGCATTGCTTAATGCAAGTGCTACTACCAATTTCCTATATTAAGTACATGTGCAATAATTACGAAGTGTTCGCGTAACGATTACTAATACGAGGATGGATTGAAAAGTTTGCGGTCTCAGCAAGAAAATAATATAAAATACAAACAAAAGTAATTTTATTTTTTCACGTAATCTCCACTTAATACACTTCTTCCATCTGGTTTCCAACGCCTGTATGCCAGTCATAAAATAAGGCCTCTAAAAAACGTCACCCACCGCAGCTTTGACCTCCTCATTTGATGAAAATTTTTTACCTCCAAGGTGTTTTTTTAGGTCTGGGAATAAATGAAAGTCTGAAGGTGCCAAATCAGGGGAATAGGCGGAATGGGGCAGTAATTCAAAGCCACAATCACGAATTTGAGCCATAGATTCAACAGACGTGTGAACGCATGCATTATCCTGATGGAACAACACTTTCTTGCTAAGTAATCCTGGCCTTTTCTCTTTGATTGTTTCACGCAAACGACGTAAAAGGGTGCAGTAATAAGCCGAGTTTATAGTTTCACTTTTTGCAAGGCAGTCCACAATGATAACATCCTTAGCATCCCAAAAAACTGACGCCATCACCTTGCCAGCTGACAAAATTGCTTTGGCTTTTTTGGAGCCAGTTCATCAGGTTTTTTCCACTGCTTGGATTGCTGTTTTGACTCTGGGGTGTATGATGTACCCAGGTTTCATCCATTATCACAAATCTGGCCAAAAAATCTTGTGGATCAGCCTCAAACATTTCCAAACAGTCGCGAGAAATCGTGAGCCGTATTCGTTTTTGTTCAACTGAAAACAATCTAGGTACCCACCGCGCAGTAACCTTAGAAAATCCAAGTTCATTGACTATGATGTTTTGTGTTCGTTCATACGAGATGCCAATAGTGTCAAGTTCTATATATAGTGCAATCTTCCTAATGGTCAATCTCCGATCTGCCAATATCAGATCACAGATTTTCCCGATGTTTTCTTCAGTCGTAGACGTTGTAGGCTGGGCGAAGCAAGGGTCATGTTCATTACTCTCTCATCCGCGTTTAAATTCTGCAACCCACTTTTTCACAGTCGTATACGACAGAGCAGATTTTTTTTTAATGTATGATAATGGAATGGCAACCCCACCCGCGCTATCGGTATACACCGGCGGGGCACCAGTGAAGAATGATAGGTGAGGATGAAGTAGGTCAGTTAGCCCATCGTGACGAATTCAACGAGAATTGTTCACGATGGTTTCCAGGGGGAACCACGTGAAAGTCGACCTAATAAAGCATATTGCTAACAATGGGGCTGTCAAACCCCATTGCTAACAATCCCTTCCCCCCCCCCCAACCCCCGGCGGAGCAGATTCCCCCAATGTTGTTAACGTCTTCGTGAATCTCTTTTGGAGTTAGTTTTTTTTAAACAGATATTTGATGACCGCACGTTGCTCAGTTTTCTCCATTCTTTAAAAACGCTGCACAAAATTCAGAATTTTAATATTAAAATTTTAAAACAGATAATACTATTGCGATAGAATTTTACAATGTGACAACCAGAGAGTAAGCAAATCGAATGAGGTCAGTTGCATTAAAATTGTTCAAGTATTTATGTGTTAGGCCGCGAATATTTCGATCTACCCTCGTATATACATAATTTGTCATGCATGAAAAACTATAGACAGACATAGAATATTACAAGTATTTGATTATGGCAATAATGGATGTCGTAGACAAAAATAGAAGAAAGCTTGTCATGGCGGAATAATCAGCTGTTAATTGCAATGCCAACTAATATTTCTTATTTATTTCAATCACCGTCAATAATTTATCTGTTTGAATATTTTTAATACCTTTTCATAATTCCTGCAATAAATAAACCAACAGTTTAATCGTTTAATTTAAAATTTTCTACCAAGATAAAAGAGGAATGGCGCGATGTCCCTTTGTCATCTGTCAGCTTCAATCATCCATTGTGTGGAAAAAAATGTGACTTGTGTGCTTTGTAATTATATTTTCACGTAATAACAACTAAACGAACAATAAATAGATATAGTATATCATTATTATCGTTGGAAGCCAATGGTTACCGTATTTCATACTTGTGACTACCGTACTTACACTGTTAAAGTAGGTATTGTTTATCGAGGCCTACGGCGCTCTCTGTACAAAGAATCAGCGGCGTCGATGATTAACTTTGGCTTTTTATTAGTGCAGAGGTAGAAGTTTAAAAATTTATTGGGTGATACGAAATCTCTGAGTTCAATTCGTGTTCGTAATTTCGGTAAAAATGTCCGGGCGCGTTCGAAAACAGTCCGATTGCCCGGTCGGCAAGGGGCCGATGAGAGCGACCTTACCCGTATCTTCTGTGATGAAACAGAGTGGAGGACTTAAGAAGAACAGTGGCAACAGCCCAACTTTGTCTCCCACGAATATCTGGCGACGAATATCACCAGATCACGCTCTGTCAGGACAACGGAGTCCTGGTGCTGTCAATTATAAAGGTTTGTTATACTTATACTTTTAATTTTAGATATATTTAATACATCTATATAAACATAGATAAAATTTACTATAGATCTCTATTTATTTTCAGACATTGCTATCAATTATAGAGGATAATAATGATTAATAATGAATATGCTTAAAAACTGGCATTACTGATATAGAATCTAATTTTGTATGTAACATTTTATATGCATTTCTAAAATAATACCTCTTCCCATTTTTAATAATATTTTATAAATATATTATATATTTATAATAATATTTTATAAAATTCTAACATTTTAAAATATTGGATATTATGATGTATAAAAAATAGTTAAAATTTAAGTTGTATCTATGTCTACCTATTCACTATCAACAAATGTTTCAATATATAGAACTATTTTTCTAAATAGTTCTATATATTGAACTAAATTTGTACTTGAGTTGAACTATTGCTTTATGTTCATTTATTTATACCATGTTACTGGGTATGCCAAAAATGCAGATTATACTTTATTGGCACTTCTTATGCATTGTTACAGTGTATTAAGGTGTTTCAATTTGAAAGATCACTAGTAGGTATGTAACATTTTACCAATGACCTTTCAAATTGAAATGACAATGCATACTTTGGTGCTTCATTACAGATCTTACTTAAATTTGTGGTAGAATTTATGTTATTAAATTATTTTTTAAATATTGACCAATAATCACAATGTCTTTTCAATGCTTTCTATTGGAAAGTCAATTATTAATATTTATAAAAAAAAACTTATTTTTTATTATTTACATATTTATTACCACAATTCAACACCAGTAATGTAAATTAATTTTTAAATTTCTATGTTACTATATTTGTACTATTTTATATAAAGCCAAAATCTATAAAAAAAATTAATTTGAATATAAAAAGAATCTGGCTGTTTACAATTTTTTATAAATTGTAAACATATGTATTGTACATAACTTGCCAAAATTAGGTTTATAGCTAGCTATAGGTTATATTAGCTTTATTATATAATTAGGTTTATATTAGCTATATTATAAATATAGCAGATAAATACTGTATATCTCCATGTGTGCTATTGTCTTATTCAATTTTAATTTCTAAGGTATATCTCTAAAATTACTAAATCCAAAGCATAACAGTATTAATCATACCATACTTTTAATGGCATTGTATGTGGTAATGGTTACCACTTACTATTAGATTCTGTGAATGCAAAAAATATCTATATATATATATGGATATATATATATGGATATATATATATGGATATATATATATGGATATATATATATGGATATATATATATATATATATATCATTAATAAAATTAATTATATGCTAATCTCATTCCAGGTAAAGGTCGCTTTGGTTCCAATGTAATCAGACGTACAGCTTCACTGGATACACTAGATCAGAAAGGACAGTGGTCTAGAGATTATTACCTTCATGCTGGTCAGCTACAAGTTGATAAGTCTACACAAGTAAGTCTGATAGATTAATTAAATTATTAAATTTTAAATTTTGGATGGTGTTTTACCCCATTACTAATATATAACATTTCTTTCCCCCCAAGTATACTGTTTGCTCATGATGCCCTTCATGTTGTTGTTTGTTCCAATTGTTTTTTTCTAATTGATTGATCTTTTTTTTAATTTTTTTTTTTTTTATTAATAAATATGAAATTATATATTTAAAACTATTTGAATATGATTTTATTTTTTTGTTTTCTATAGGTATATGATATTGAGAAAGTATATTATTTAAAAATTTATATTATAGACTGATGATGGAGGTGGAGCATCAGGCCGATCATCTAGGAGTTCTGATGATGATAAACTAGATCGCTTTCGTCGCAGTCGCCTACAAAGACCTCACAAGGGTTCCGTTTCGGGGGATTATTCCTCACAGTCCATGAGTCCTGGATTATGTATGTACAAATTTTTATTTAATATTGCACTGATCTAGTAACTTATACAAAGTTTTAACTTCAATAGATGAAGGGTGATAAAGGATTACACACAAATTATCTATGTATCTATATAATAAATTATAATATGTATATATAATGGTGATTTATTTCTACATTACTAGAAGTAAAAATATTCTATATAAACAATATGGTTAGTCAATATAGAAAGTGAAATTGGACTTTTTAGATATGATTTCATCTCTCAACAATAAGTACAAACAACAACTACTAAACAATTACAGAGTCATAGCCAGAAATATACTATTTCTTCTTTCATTCTATATACATGTACAATAGGAATTTTATGAACATACTGTTTGTAACTTCCGACAACTGTTTCGATTTCATCCAGAAGTCTTCTTCAGGGAGCATATGACACTGCATCAGAGTATCTCACCTCTAGTTTAAGTTGTTCTCTTATATATTATATAGTATTATTAAATGATTTATTTGAATTACTATATTAAAAATATTATTCTGTAGTATGATATTTTTTGTGCTTACTACATAATTGCTGAACATGCAGGGGTATTGTCAGGAAACCATACTGTGTATTGTATGACTAGTCCAGAGTCTTTAATTTAACAGTTATAGTAAATTTATTTAAAGCCATGATAATTTTAGACAATGATTTAAATATCAAAAATGTGTTGACCAGGGTCCCGCTTCGGCTCTGGTAGCGTACCATTAAGAGCTGCCCGTTCGTCGGTAGAAGGATTAAACCAAGAAATAGAAAGACTTGTGTTGTACCCAGCAAGTGGTACGCAGACTCCGCAATTGGACCGACTACGTGATAAGGTAACTGCAAATTTATACTTCTTCCTTTGTTGAAATTTTGTGTCTGAACTGAAGAGGTACATCCATGTATATAATATAAAAAATTCTATTTTTACTATAAAAGATTGTCAGAATATAGAATGTACATACATACGAATGTACAGGGTACAGAGGAATAATATCTGAGTCCTCAAAAATGGAAATGCATGGGGGGTATCATGGGCGAAACAGTATACTTTGTAAGGTTCATGGTACTGCTCATGTCTATAGGCGATAGTTACCACTTTCCATCAGGTGGGCCGTCAGCTTCTTTGCCATTCTAAGTTGTATAAAAAAAAGAAAAGAAAATATGTATCTGTCACGCCTGTCTTTCATACAGTAAGAAGAAACAAAGAAATACCAAATGCTACAATTGAAATAGATCTCCACATTCGTCTTTTTGTACATGCTTGCTCTTTTTCAACATGTTGCCTATTTGTACCGTACGTACCAACATTTCCATTCATTCATGCTTGATAAAACTCGTAATTCTTCTTTCATCCATCCTTTTCAAATGACCAAACCAACGCAACATTCCCTTTTCAATCTTTGTCAGTACATCATCTTTCAGTCCACACTTCTCTCTAAATACACTATTTCTCATTCATCTCTACAGTATTTATCCTACTTTCATGCTTCTTCTGGCATACCTATAATTCTCTTCCTAACATGAATTTTGGTGTCATTATTCCCTGAATTATGGTAAGGTGAGCTTTGCTCAATATATTTTTGCTTGCCATAATTGTACCGTTTACTCTGTTTCTCACTTTCACTCTCCTTTCAATATCTTCATCACACTTTCCTTTTTTTCTTCCCTTGTATACAATGAACCTAAATATAGAAACTCATTTCTTCCACTCTTTCATCTTATCTATTAATTTTTTTTTTTTCTTAATGTTTTTATTTTTTATAATATGTATATTTATGTATGTATGTTTTGGATCATTAATGAGAAATTATGTAAATATTTCAGGTAACCCCAGAAGGACATCGCGCCCCATTAGCAGAGCTTTTAAGGCGTTCTGTCAATACCCAAACACCACATGACCTCTGTCATACAGCTCATTCTTCAGGTACTTGATCAGTCAATAATTATTTAAAATTATTAATTGTCTACTATGCTATTTTAATGAAAAACATAGGAAATATATTTTATTATATTTTTATTTGTGAAAACCTAACAACTGACAAATATATGTGTGAAATACATCATATTTTATAATCAGTATGGATTTAATTTTATGAAAAAGATTTTTATTTTCAAAAGAAAACCCTTTACAAGCAGCTACTACAGTTTAAATCTGTGCATGTCATATATTGACCATGCTGAGACAGTTTCGGTCATGTCTAATGGTAGTAAATTCAGCTGATATTACAATAGTACATATTATATAAAAAAATAAATTGTGGGCATAGATCCACCATCCCGAGGGTCACTCTCCAGTGGAGGTTCTGCGGAACTACTTGCCACAGGTCTATAAAATAATTTAAGGCTTTTGTGAAAATACCCTTCTTGCAATAGTTTTACAATGCACCAACCACAAGAACGGTTTGACATTTCCTAGCATGGTTTTTCTCGTTTTTTTTTTTTTATTATGAATGCTTCCACAATTTAGTATATTATGTAGATAAAATTAGGAGTTACAGTAGCCATTATAATTTTATAATGCAATGAAGTAACGTCGTAATTTTAAAGCTTTATTAATAATCATTGAAACTATATTGTTGCTTATTACATGAAACAATAGAGTAATATTAGTTTATGAATAATCCACGTATAATAATTTCAGGTGGCAGTGTATGTTCATCGCCAGATTTGGATGGATCTAAACTCGGTACTTCGCCACAAATAAATCGCTTCCTAGCCCGTGAACCACCAGATGGTTGTGAAAAGGTAACGTTATCGTGTATCGTATTATGTACAAGCATTCAATGGGATGTTAGTGTAGGTTTTCTAATTGTGATAATAAATTGATAGTGTTAAATATGCTGGGACTCAATAGGTGCAAGTAATTCAAAACTTTTTTAATCATCATTTTCAAGTACTGATATGTTCAACAACAGTTTTTTTTTTAATAGATGATAATCATATGGTAACCTGCCTGCGCTGTATACGCTGGCGGAGCACCAGTGAGAGATGATAGGTAACAATGATAAGGCAGGTCAGTTAGCTCATCATGATGAATACACCTGAAATTCAACACAATGGTTTCCAGGGAGAACCACGTGCAGGTCTACCTGATAGGGTATATTGCTAGCAATGGGACTGGTAGTCCGCATTACTGATAATCCGCCCCCCGCCTCTCCCTGTTCAGCAATAGTAGACAATGAATGAGTAATATAGCATGATGAATATTTATGTATATATTAATAATTTCAGGTGAATTTAAAAGCAGGAGAAGGTGCATATACGGATCCAGTGCTAGTAATGAAACCAGCGGCGCCAGGGTTTACGCTGCGGCCTTCACTCGGCTCAGCGTTCCAGCCTCTCCAACCAGCCTCATCGCCTTCACCGCCCGCATCCACTTCTCACTGACTCATCCTTTATGTAATTTAAAGGTATTAAACTCGTTCTATACAGTGTCAGAAAGCATTACACCAGTATTTTTCTACAAGCCAACACAGGTTATGTTATGCGCAATCCAGAAAATTCTCTTTGTTTAATGAATTTACTACTTGATGCCTAATGTAGTATGTTATATTCGAAAAGTGTTTTGATTTGTAACTCATGAATTATTCTTACAATTCAAATTACCTGTACATATTTTATACAGTCTATACCTATTACTATGACAGACATTAGTTTCGCGAGCATAGCATAGATAAGCATCCATCTTGAAATAAAAAAAATACCGCTCAATATACAGGCTCTAAACTTTACAGTAACTTACGAAGTTGTATGTAACAAAATTTACATTTTGTAATGATGGAATAATTGTTGAAATTTTTTTTTTATATATATACATCTCAGTTTATCCTTATTTAAAAAAATGTGTTATTATTACAATTTATTCACAAACTGTAGTAAGCATTAATGCAATTAAGCAAAATAAGCACTTTTTTGAGTATGTATTTAAACCATCTTAAACTTGAATAACTGTTGATAAAATACATATCTATCCTAATTTTGTATTTTTGTGAGAAAATTGCCCAATTGTCATTGTTACTTATGTTAATACTGAAATGATTGTGTTAACTTACTCATTAACCATTACACATACAACATTGAATGCATAAGAAACACCATATCATATACACATTTTACAGCTTATTACATTATAACAATGATATTAATATATTTTCTGTTAAAACATATATATATATATATATAACAAAATATAACTTTTTTTATATCATCTAAATGTATTAAATATTATGAGTATTGTCATATATTTATACCCTGTCGTGACAATAATATGATCGCGTTAGTACGACCTAACTGGAAAATACGCAACAGAAACAACATATATGAATATTGAGTGCTTGTCAATTTATTGCACTGTGAGTGAGACTATAAATCCCGTTGTAATTATTAAAAAAATGATGCAAGTAGCTGTGAAAAACAATATAGTAATATACAGGGTTTGAAGCCGGTCCAGCAAATTAGTCTATTAATAAAAATATTGATAAATTTACAATAAAATTATATATCTTTATAGAAAAAAAAATTAATAGAATAATTGACTGGGCGCAATTTATGATTCAACCCTGTACTAAGTTATAAATCAACCAAAGTTATTTCACAATACTTTAAATTAAAACCAAACAAAGAAAATTATATGAGTATCCCGAAAAGTACTGTATCATTATTACTTTTTTTTTTTTTAAGTTACAATATTTTTTGTATCTCATACCTCCAGCAGAAACCATCTCATGATATGACTGGATATATATTTGATCTCATTTTTTTCTATTATTAAATACTATGTACATAACACTGTTATAAACAATAAAAGTTGAGTTGAATTGTGTTTTAAGAATATTAATGTAAGTGGGTCTTAATTCTCAACATATGGTTTCGTTTGTATTTCTAATAAAAAACTGGGGATAATATTATCTCAGACCAAATTTTTAGAGGGCCAGAGTATGTTATTGTGGGCATCGCTAATTAAATATTACATTGAATTTTTCTAATTCAAGGAGCTTTAAATTGTGGGATTTGGTAAAAGAAAATAGACTGAAATTTTTAAACTTTATTCGTACTTTGATACAGGTATCTTGACAATTGCTTAGTGTTTAGTATTCTATGTAAGTGCCTGTCTTGAAAGTCTTAATTTTTTTTTAATTAGTTAATTATTATTATAGCTTACCAAAATTATGACTCAAAATTCTTGACTGAAGCTGTAATATTGTATATTAATTTTACCCTTATGTAGGTAATGTATGTCACAGTATCTGTATCAGGTATTTTGGGGAGGTATGTACCATTGTTATACATCATTCATTTTGGAAACAAATGGACCACGCTAGTTGGATCTCTCGTTTTGGCCAAAATGCATTTTTAACATCGAGACTGATAATGTAGAACGTTGACAACTTACATAAACATAGTTAGATCTGCTTTTGGACGTACGCAATTATTTTGTACTATTTTGTATATTACTATAACAGCTAATGGCTAATATATATTTTGGATGGCTCACCTTTCGAGAATAGAGTATTTTGAATCTTATCATTGCTCAAATAAAACATATTATAAAGGAGCCACACTTATGATACATGCCGAATTTGAATATATATAGACATTGTGATTGTAATATTTCCAGTTGCTATGTATATTAGTATTATTGATTATTTGATAAATGTGATATGTAAGCGAATCGTTAATGAATGTTGAACGTGATTAACAACTTTGGGAACTGAGATTCGGTGCATATATTTCGTGATGATTAACATTGTTGATATGTGCACAAAGTAAGCAGTATCCATAAGTTGTAACGCGTTACTGAAGGTGCTGAGTAGCATATAGAAGTGTGTTTGTGTGCGTGTATAGTGACCGACTTGTGACACAGCATGGTGTTCAAGATATATTTCTGTCTTTTGTTATATCTATGGTATCTTCGGGGTTGTATGTCAGTACGAGCTGAATCATAGCTGAATAATATTCTTTTATCATCATATGTTTTCCTCATTTATGAAATATTTATGAATTAACAAAACATATTCTGTAAAAACATTAAAATTAAAACCGAGCCAGTATTTAAATTCCGAATGTTTGAATGTAGAATGTCTCTAAAATAAGTGCAATATCTAGTAGTAATGTTAAAAAATAAGCTATCAAATTACAAAATCTCTTACATATGTTCAAAAACAGTTGTATGATACTTTCCTATCATCACCTTCAATACACTTTTCAGTTGCTAAATTATTCCTGATTCACACACATTTGTAACAGTGTAAGCTTTGTGGTTAGATTTGCCTTGCTTCCTGTCAGCTTCCATGGCGCTTTATAGATTTCCACATTTCGATAAACAATAATATGCTTTATATACTAACAATATACATACTTAAGACATATGTCACAGGTCCAGGTTGTAATTTAGGATTTATGTAAGCCTCTCCCAATAAAATGTTACCTAATTTAAGGATTAGTATTTTTAGTAAAGTGACCCGTAAATTATTAGCTGTTAATAAATGTGTGCTATAACAATGTCCCCTTATAATTAATTTAATAGCCACATATGTGGACAAAGGTTCCTTGATAAAGACATTTTAAATATTCCATCAATAGAATATTATACTTAAAAAAACAGGAGGTGTTAAATGTCTTTATTGGGAATTGTAGATGTTTTTAAAGTACATAAAGATATTTTTATATGTTCAGGGTAGGAGATTTGCAAGTTGTACCATAAAGTAATATGCTAGGACCTTAGATTTGATAGTTCTTTTATAGATGATTAATATTATTTTAATGTTTGCTTTTAGATAAATAATAAGTTTGTAATTTTTATTAATGATATTAGATTAAATACTAACTTTTAAACTAAACCAAAAGTGCCCATTGATATAAGTTTATATAAAGAGCAAACCTTTTGTTTAGCATTTTGTTAATGAATAATGTTTAGGCAACAAAATTAGCAAATAAGAAAATTATCAAAGGATTGTTGAGTTTTAGTTATCTAAAATTGTTGAGGTTTATTGATAAAAAAAAAATTCATTTAGTTTTTTTACATGTGATGCTGAACAAAAGGCTTGTTTAGTTAGGAGGCATTAATTAACATCAATATTAATAGTATCTACTTTTTAAGTAATGATAAGAATGGTTTTATTATAGTTTTGTTTCAGAGAAGAAATTCTAATTACTATTTTTGTTTCCAATATTTTATCACTTTTACCTGTTTTCACTGTAATGTATCTTGCTGTATTGCAGACATATCCAATATACAGACTGATTTAACAACTTTTATTTTTTATTTTACTCCCATTCAATAAAAGCATTTTTTATACAAAAATCAAATATTGAAGCAATGTTCGTTGATGCTTGTCCTCGAAACTATTCAACCTATTTTAATCAAAATTTGTAAAAGTGTACTGTTACCTCCATCTAGAGAGGTAAAATAATTTTATTCCGATAAAAAGAAATGGATCCGTTAGGCTGTGGTAGCGGGCAAAAACTTTGCCAGGTCAGCTAATAGACATTAAATTATGGCAAAAAAAAGTAAGTTTAACACAATCGAGATTTTTATAGGTACTAAAATAATATTTATTACCTTTTTTGATAACCTTGACGTGTTTTTACTAAACATACATAATGCATTATACCTGTGTAATACTTGCACCGTTTATACAAAGTATTAAAAGTACTTGTATAAAATATATCTGTTCTTTATGGAAATATCATATTAATTATTTCTATACTTATTGTAATCAAGTTGTTTGCAAGTACATACTTGATTTCAAAACTGAGTTAAGTTTATTTTTGTGGTGGCAGGGAGCAACAAATACTATATTTAAAGGGTTCAATTTTACCAAATTCAGATAAAAAATCATATCAATTTAAATATTGTATTTAAAATTATTCTTTAAATTATAAAAATGTTACAATGGAATGTTTGACATATCACTTAGATTTATGTCTATAAATGTTGTAAAATAATATAATTATTATAATATCCGAAATTTCCATAAATGTCTTAAAAACCCAAGACTCAAATTCTCTTACATACGCTAAAAGTCTAAAAACAAAAATACTAAAATATTAGTTTGTGACACTGTCTGAACAACAAAACCATAAATTTCAAGTTTTGGACTACATATCGTCATAGTCGTAGAATACCGACGGATCTTCATATGTAATCTTTGTGAGATCCGTCAGTATTCTACGTCTATGATGATATTTGTATATAAATAAATAATTCCAGCAAAATATCTCAAATTTTAGTGAAATTTAGAGATAACCAGACATTAGAGGTGGGTTGTTCTTTTTCATTAAAATGAAAACTTAATTTGAGGCTGTTTTGATATTGCTAAAAATGATTGATCATTACGATGTTCCCAACCTCTAAACCACTGATTTTAAATAAAAAAAAAAAATCAACACCCTGAGTTAATGAAGTTGTAAATTTGTTTTATATTGTTTAAGACAATGAATATTGGAATTTGTGTTTGAAATAAATTTGCAGTAAATAGAATTTATTTTTATTGTATCAATTGAATAGTAACAATATATGAAAAGTATAAATTAATGACTTGATATAAAATATTTTTCTAGTACTGTAAACTGCGTTTCGTTTGAATATCATCTAGTAATATCCTAAGTTCCTCATCTTCAAATCTTCCCTCAAGTGAAGGTATTAAAGCTTTGGCTTCTTCTGGTGTTTCTGGACATAAGTTGGCTAAACTTGCTACTTCAAATTTATGTAGTTTCTTGGATTGAAGAAGGCTAGAAAGAAGCAAAATTACACATTTCTATAATATACTAGCTGACTCGGCAAACATTGTTTTACCATATACATTATTTTTAGAACTATACATGAAATTTATCCTACTATAATTATTATATTGGATTGACATCTTGTAACCCTATTGCGGTATATAAAAATCGCGATTAAAATACAGGGGTTGATCGTAAAACGATGAAAATTTTAAGTTGTATATATTTTTCAATGCTTAATTATAATAAAATAAAAATAAAAAAATAAAAAAAAAATTTTGAGGTGGGTCACCCTTATCATTGACGGGTATGAAAAATAGATGTTGGTCGATTTTCAGACCTACCCAATATGCACACAAAATTTCATGAAAATCAGTAAAGCCGTTTTGGAGGAGTTTGGTAACAAACACCATGACATGAGAATTTTATATATTAGATATACCAGAGAGACTTACAGTACAGACTGACAGTACAAAAGTAATTTGCTTGATTACCTTAGTCCCATTCGTGTTTTTACAGTTATCTTTGCATGGCTGTATTTCAGTTTGAAAGGTAATAATGGAATACCCCACCTGTGGTATCAGTATACGCTGTGGTTTGAAGGGTGGGATATGGCAGTGAATTTACCTTTCATTAAATTGTATTAAAACAGACTATGTACATATAAATCATATTATCCTAGACCAACTAGGGTCAGCAACCTTTTGAGTCTGAAGAGTCAAAAATTACAATTTACAAAGTTTCAAAGTTTTTAAAGAGCCACAAAAATTTATCTTGCTAACAATAAGTAGTACTTAATATATATATAAGCATAAGTAAAATTCAGAACCTAATCTATGTTAATCTATTAAGAAAGTTTTTTTTTATTTATAAAATAAATAATATATGGATAATATATTTTTATATTTTTGCTTTTGAATCTATGGATATGTGGGGAACAGAAGCAAAATCATTTATAAAAGAGTTGAGTCAACACATTGTGGATAAAGGCCATGATCACTGTTCCAGTTCATATCTGGGTCAGGATTCAATTTAATTTAAATTGTATTATTTGAGTTGTATTAATATTCAATTGAATAATTGCATAATAAAGTATAATGGCTGAAATATAGAATTTCTTTATAAAATAAATAATGTATGGGACTAAAGATCCGCTGCTTCACATCCAAAGAGGTGCATGTGGCTCTCGAACCACAGGATACCAAACTCTGTCCTAAACTATATACATAAAGTACTGTCTACCTTAATTTAAGCAGGCAAATCCATACCAGAAGGTGAGGTGATTACCTTTACAGTAAGAACCCAATTAACTTACTTTCTTACAGCAGCAATAGTTTCTTTGTTCTTGAATTTTTTAAACATATTTGTATAAGTGAGTGTCTTCATAAAAACTTCAGAGAATTCTTGTTCCTCCTCAGCAGATTCATTCTGAGCTTTTCTGTGTTCCAATAACATATCTACTTCTGATATAAGAAGAGTCTCAGCATTTTCAAATTCTAAAATTATTAATATTACAATTAAAGTAATAAACGACAAACTTAAATAATATGTTTGATTAAAAAACAATTATTAGATATAACCTTTAGGAAACTGTAAATCGGCTGCATCTTCTTCTACAACGTCTTGTACTGGTCCGGACATTGTATTACAATTCTATAATTTGTGTATAATATTTATTATAAAGTTAAACTTTATACAAAAACAAATAAATAGCCGGTAAAAGACCAATACATTGAAAATTAATTTCTGAAACAATTCAAATAAAAATAGTAAACACAAGTTAATTGTGTATTCTGTGTACAGAGTAGTTTCAACCAAAGATTTTATTGTGTTGATCTGTAATTTGATTTTAATTCATCTGTTAGTCATCTTTATTTTCTTTAAGAAATTGTCATTTCCTTTCCTTATTTATTTCCCTGTATAGTTTTTTTTCATTTTTATTTAGTTGTCTAGTAAATGTATATAAAATGATTGATTAATTTTCGTGAAATACATGTTTTCAATGTTAAAGTGCAAACTAGGTATTAATAAACTCTTCAGGGAAATTTGAAAATAGAAAAAGAAAAATATTGCCTAGTAATATTAATATTTGTTGGTGTTCTATAAATTGACTTTTGTCTAAAATTGTCTTTACAAATTAAATAATATTATAATATAATAGTGTAATATAGTATTTTATATATTTAGTGGATGTTGTGTTATAAATAAACTGTCAATTACTTGGACTATAAAAAAAATAATCTATTGTATTATATTAGTGCTACTACTACTTTCACGCTGGTCATATTTCCATATATATTTACTTCTAATAAGCTAGGTATTCAACTGCTACTCTAATATTCAACACTTGTTTTTTTATATATACATTTAAGACTTTTAGATTTGAAGCGACTTACAAATCCAATATATTGTCAACATAGTAAACTTCAAAGAAAGGAAAAATAGGAACATTTATTTATTTTTTGATTTCCTGTTTAAATGTGCCTGAGTACTTTGTCTATGCAATGTAAAGTGTTATATGCCACTGTGTTCTGATAATCTATATTTATGCACAAACATAATGTCTGTGATGCTTTGTGATATATTATATAAGTAATCCTAAGAGTGTAGTAATCCTAAAAACAAGTTAATAATCCTATCTTTCTATCAGAAATAATTATTAATGATAGAATTTGGATAGTTTTGCCATATCTGACAACATTGGGTTCGTAGGCACACAACGAGAATGCCACAGTCACTACTAGTCTTTTTAATCTGTGGTCAAAATTAAATGACAATATGGGGAAAATTAAATGACATATCAGACAACTGTCAATATTATAGAAAAACTGTACAAATATTTAAATTTATAAAATTTAATTATTATTATTTTTTATTCTTATTTGTTCGTATTCTCTTGTCTATTATTTTTTCTAGGAATACATTATATTAAATTTAATAATAAATATAAAAAAAAGAATGACAAACAATGTGCCTGAATCAGATTGCACTTTTTTGCCTAAAGGTAAATATAGGTTTTTTTTAATAGGTGATAATGGAATGATAACCCCATTTGCGCTATCGATATACACCGACGGGGCACCAGTGAAGGATGATAGGTGAGGATGAAGCAGGTCAGTTAGCCCATCGTGACCAATTCAATAAGAATTGTTCATGATGGTTACCAGGGGTAACCACGTGAAGGTTGACCTAATAGAGCATATTGCTAACAATGGGGCTGTCAAACTCCATTGCTAACAATCCCTTTCCTCCCCGGTAAATATAGGTTGTCCACTGATATATAATTATGATGTATCACAACAAAGTTTTGTATAGGAAGGCTTTGAAATTTTGATTTATAAATAGCTTACTACAATATTTTTACTACGATTACAGAAGTTATGACTCCTAATAAAGACTTCCCTGGAATCTCTAAAACTGTGTTCACTCATATATGTAACTTACACAGCTTTTTAAATGATTGGGCTAGATTTAGAGATAAAGGAATAAAACTATGCAGAGGGATATCGGCATTGAAACTACATGAATGTACAGATTATTATTATCCACATCAACTTAAACCATTAACTGAAGGTCTTCTTGAAGCATTAGATGAGTTGAAAAATATTTTAGAAGGTATGCAGTAATACTTTAATTTATAAATTTACATGATATGTTGTAATTGATTTATCAGTTTCATAAATATTTCTGGATGAATGGACTAAGGAAAATTACAAAATGACACCACTATTTTTTGCACAAGTATATAAATAGAAAAATCAATTATATTATTAGCTTTAATAAGCAAATTTTAGATACCTTGGGTTATATTATTGTATTTTTCTAATCTCTAATTTTTTGATAATAATATACATGTGGATAATTGTGGTGTGGTTGAGTAGTTTTTAGTTTATTCTTACAGACACAAAAAAATTCTCAAAAACATAAAGTATATCCTGTTTATAATATTAGTATAAGGAGGAAAAAAAATATTTTTAATAGATTAAAATATCCAAAATAAATGCAAGGGAAAGAAAATTCAAATTAAAAAACCCTATTTTAAGTCACCTGGCTAGTGTGGCAATATTGGGTAATATTATTTTCTTATTAAAGTTAATAAGAAGACAATGGAATAGTAACCCCACCTGTGCTATTAGTAGACATTAGTGTGAGAAAAAATATATCAGTTATAAAATTACCTCAAATTAACCAAGATGTTTTCAAGGTTCTACTTATTGAAAAAAATGTATTTAAGCTTATCTATCAATTGTTAAGTCTTAGTTTAAGAAGGAGGATCTATACAATATTATAACATTTCTTAATATATAAAAATCCCATATCTAAGCTAATCTCTGAAACCATTAAAAAATTCAATATTTTTTTATAAATATGTGTTATTTGCACTAACTTGAAAGGTAGGATAATTCTTATTCTAATTAGAAAATAAGAACCTAATAGATGACAGTAGGAAAAAAACAATGTTTGCTAAGTCAACTAATTATAATATTTCATAGAAAATTCTCAGAACAGTACAGACATAATCTTTTATTAGTACAAATTTTGTATTGTGTTGAGAAATAAAATAAAGGTGGTTACCTTTACAGAGTGACAACTTGTGTTATATCATTAAGACCACCATGATTGTTGATTTGATAAGTAAAATATGATTGAAGTATCATTATCATCATTTCAGCCATTATTCATCCACTGCTGGATATAGACCTCCCCCATAAACTGCCATAAGGAACAGTCCTGAGCCACCTGCATCCACTGACTCCGTGCAATGCATTTAAGGTTGTCGCTGAAGTATATGATGATCATAATTTTTTTTATTTTTATAATTATGTACATGTAAAATTTCAGGTATTGAAATATTAAACAATCAATTGAAAGCACTAGCCAAACTCCAAATAACTGGTCAACCAGTAATCTTTACATGGAGTGCAAGTGTTATATCCGATAGTGTGGAAAAAATGTTCCTCTCTTTACAAAAAGAATATAGGTTGAAACAAATAATCACAGGTACTTAATTCAATCATTTCTAAAATAATTTGTAGTCCTAAATATAATATATGTGCTTCTGATTAACCCACTAAGCATTACCACTTTTAATTTGGTACTGCCATTTTTTGCATGATGTCTGAAAAAATATACCGATAGCCAGACAGACACATAGACAAAGAGACAATATTTCTAAAAAATATTGTTTTGGCTTCTACTATACTTATTAAGATGTCTTATATATTTTTTTCTTAGATATCTCCCATGTACGAGTACAGACATCATTTAGTTACAATTTTATTATATTAGTAAGATATATTCTGGATAGAAAGAGATTATAGGTGTCTAGTTATAAGCAATGCAGAATATCTGGTAGCATAAATTGTTATATTGATACTCAGGGAGTAAATACATTGATTATTTATCATCATTATAGGTAAAGGACTAATAATGTATTCTATAGATGTATTTTCGTAAGCATATTTGTGTAAACCGCTTATTTTCACGTATAACGGATGGAAAATATATATGTCTGGGATTGCCCATCCCCTTCCTAATATTTGTAGGTTTTAATAACATTTTTTCGTCTTCGTGTATTTTATCTTTTCAGAAAATATTGCACACTGCAGGGATGAGAAGCTAATAGATGTCTATATTAGTTCCTGGGAGTTGGAGCCTTATTTTGAATCAAACCCCTACTTATTTGCTGAAGTTGGTTTGAATTGAAGAATGTTAAATATAATGTACATAAAAATTAAGAATTTATATATTTTAGTGTATATTTATAAAATATACACACAAATACATTCTGCTTGTATCTGTTTTATTTATTTTCTTATTTTATTAAAAGAAAACCCTGCTATTTTGCTTGCGCGAGTGTGCGGAATCCGAATTTTCATCATTAGAACCATCTAAATACTTTTAGTAAATCATATACCTAAAGTATCTATCTCTATCTTAATTAAAATTTATAAATTTAGATACTGAACGCATAATCTTGTTTACAGTAAAAACATAAGTAAATATGATGAATAAACCTTAAATGGAATATAATACCTATTAATAAATTGGTGGGGTATTAAAATATTGTTTTTCTAATCATCATCATATCAGCCGCTAACTGTCCACTGCTAAACATAAGTATCCCCAATATAAGTGAGGGGGGGGGGGGTTATTAGTTGCTGTCGCGCTCGGTAGGCGGGTTGGCAACCGCATTTGGGCTTCAATGATGTTTTAAGAGAAACGCTGTTGCCCATTGTTCACTTCGTCACCTCTTACGATAATCACGGGAAAGGAAGGGGGGACCCATTCTATGGCGGGACCACACGGGAATTTTTTACTCATATTAAATACCAATTTTTGCTGTTGCTCATAATCGAATGCGCAAACTTTATAAGAATACCTAATTATACAAGTATAAAAAATATTCAACTAATCGTGTGTCTAATACAAATAAAACAAAGACTGCATAGCAAATTGTTTTTCCGGCTTATCCAGTATAATCGGACTATTTAGATGGGGCCTGATAGTGAAACGAAAACAAGGCTGAATCTATGGCAACCGTTACCAAACAGAACCATACACAAATGGGTTACCACCAGGTGTTATATTTCGTTCAGAAACACGAGTGTTTTATGAAGTAAAATCTTCATAACTAGCTAGGTGATATAACAAAAAATATTTATGTTCGATAAAATTATAGATATTATTTGAATTTTACCTAGGTAATACTTTTTTACCTAGGTAATTAAATTTAGAATGGCAAATAATTAAATCACCAAAGGGAAACTACAAAAGTTGTTTGCTCATGTTTATAGGCGACGGTTACCACTTTCCATCAGGTGGACCCTTAGCTTGTTTGCCATTCTGAGTAGTATAAAAAAAAATACCGTAAAGCAGTTGTGTTTGCAAGGCCGTGTTTTGGTTAGAATGTTGGGGTATGGCAATGAATTTATAGATATATACATATACACAGATAAATACAGAGGAAGTACCTTAGTCCTCAGGAATGGCAACGTGTGAGGGTATCATGGGCAAAACAGTATATGTACTTATGTCCATGCTACTGCTCATGTCTATAGGCGACGGTTACCACTTTCCATCAGCTTGTTTGCCATTCTAAGTTGCATAAAAAGTATTTGAAACCTCTATATTCACCCCAGATATACTGTGCCGGTTCCCACAAGGCTTGATGTCACTTTTGAATACTAAATATACCTTCCGTGTTAAAGATTCTAATGTATTTAAATAACCACCTGCAACTTTAAAACTGAAAAAAAAAAACATCAACAAACACCTAGATTCCCTACGTTTTTTTTGATGGGTGAAAATGATAGGGTAACCCCCCCTGCGCTAATGGGATACGCTAGCGGAGCACCAGTGAAGGGTGATAGATGAGAATGAAAACAGGCCAGTTAGCCCATCATGATGAATTCATCAGGAATTAACTATGATAGTTTCCAGGGGTAACCACGAGGAGATCGACCTGATTGGGTATATTGCTAGCAATGGGATTCTCAGTTTCTATTACTAACAATCCCTTTCCCCCCAGATTCCCTACGTTAGGACGAATGACAAAAAACTGACTGACATAATGTCCGAATACTCATTTTAGCGGTGCATTAATAGCCAAAAGCTTAAAATCTTAAATTTTTAAAATCTATAAAGTTCATAATCACGTTAATTTGTATTTTTGGGGTTGGTACACGGGCGAAAACCGCGCGATGAGGATAAGACGCAATAAAACAGCGGAGTTATGATATACAAGCACAGTTAATATTCTTATATAACGCTACACCACACATGCAGGAGATATAAGGATACAGACATCAATCCAACTGGTTACAATAATATTTTTACTCTCACCGTACATATTATAGCAAGCATCTTCTTTTCGTCGTCAAATCATCTGTCCAAAAAGACAGGGTTGCCACATATTCGTAATCGAAACTTTAATCTAGCTTTGTTCATTGCATATTATTCAAATCTTGAATATTCGTTTCTAGCAGGTACCTTCTAATATCAATACAAATATCATAAAGCGGAAGAATTTGTTTGTTTGTTTATTTGGACGCGTTGAATTCTGGTACTATTTTTTTCTGGTTTCTTGAGGAAAGTATCATGGTTTAGTGCCCGTGATTATATCGTGATAATAATAGAAACTATTCAAACCATCTTGGGCAAAACCGCGAGAAACAACTAGTATTATATAGTATTACTTATATGAAATTAAGGCCACATTCCTACTCGAGTGTACTAGTATACATAAATGTAGGTAGATTATAAAGTATATACTTATAGTAAAGTTATATACTTATATAACTTTCCCGGATGTAAGAGAATTTTCATCGCCGTCAGTAAATCTAATACGTAGCCAAATAAAATATCGTGTCACCAAGTTGCTGATCAAAAAGTTAATTGGGCGTGAAATGATGACAGCGCGCTCTTCCTGTTACAATTTGGGTCAATTTTCAAAGCGGAATCCCTTTAGGTACACAGTTACCTCGTGCCGTGAGATCTAACCATTTCTATTTATATCGAGATGCGAACGAGTCTACGTAATTAAAGGTATTTCAATGTCTACAGTTTGTTATCAAATATAGTATTTATTACAGGTACCTCACAATGCACATATAAAATAATATATTTAATCGAATTCATGCTTTTTTAATGTTATATAAATTTTAATAAATAAACTTTCATAGGAACGTAATATTTATTTGCTACTTCTAATTCCCGTCTGAGTATGTTACCACAGAAAAAAGAGTACCTATATTTACCTCTAATGTCAAGAGAATCTAGGCTACCTTTGTTATAACATAAAACCCGGAAAGACGGGTTTACATGCCCTCCGAAATACGAAAAAAGTGACTATAATTTTTAAATTATTCAAACATGAACAGTAAATATTTTCCAATATTAGGTATGTTATATATTAGTTATACAAAAATTCAGGGGGAAAGGAATTGCTAGTAATGGGAACTAGCGGCCCCATTGCTAGCAATATGCCCTATCACGTCGACCTCCACGCGGTTCCCCCTGTAAATCATCTTGGTTGTTTTTTTATGAATTAATTACTATGGGCCAACTGATCTGCTTTCATTTTCACTTATCATTTCTTGTTGGTGCTCCACCAGCGTATAGCAATAGCGTAAGAGAGGTTTACCATTCCATTCTCACACATTAAAAACAATCATCAAAACTTATATTTATTGTAGTTACTTTCAAAACTAATAGGATTCAGTTTGTTTTGTTTTTATTTAAGACTGATTGAGTCCGTTTATATAAATAGATACCTTCTGTCTACCGCATTTCGACCCATTGGGCCATTTTATGCTTTCTTTTTACTATATTTAACTTCTAAGTTTTTTGTTGGTGTTTTTCCATTATGAAATGAGTTTTCAACGGTAAATTTCCAGTTTTAATTTCCGCATTATCTGTTTCTGTTTCATTATACAGTACCTGCAGTAACTGGAAAACTGACGGTTGTTTACATTTGTCTCGGCAGTGTCGGCGCGAACGCAGATAACTCTTTGTTCCCTTACTTAAGTCAATATATTATACGCTAACATCTGCCATGGAGTCGCTTTCAGTTTATATATTTATGAAATATATAAACTGAAAACGACATAAATATATAAACGACATTTAATAATTTTCAAATAAATTATGATCATTAAGATTATACCCAATATCTAGTTATGTTTTCAAATAAATGTCGTTAAATTAAATACAAAGGTACTATTGAGATTGAGATGCTAATGGTATATAATAATATAGATAAGCATTAACTTGTAGGACTAATTAATAACATAATATTTCCATCAAAGTAAATTAGGTAGTTCAATTCAAATTACCTCTATCAGAAGTGAGGTTGATTACGGTCAAGCATTTTTATAATTATTTTACCACAGTATAGGTAATTTGAAAACAAAAGTACCTATGTAACTTACGTAATCACGCTTTTAGATTTTTATAGATATCTATGACGTCGTCGCGAAAAGTATAAGCATTTTCATAGAACTATTGCTTTGCATTCTGCTCTTCTATTATTACATCGTGATCGTTTATCGTCTCGTATCATGCTACGGCAAATTAGAAAATTTAAATACATATCTCTATTTCCTACTCAGTAGGTATTAGATATATAATATTCTAAATGTATGCAATGCCGACTTCTACTCCACGTATTCCTCTGTCCAGCTTCCAAGCAGACTAGTAATTTCGGTTAGCACTATTTCACACCATTTATACATCAGTAGCGACAGAAGCTACATTCGTTTGACTTTCGTCTACAACATATTCACGTGTCAATAACTAATTGCTGCAGAGATGTAGCCGATTATCTCTTGAACCGACTAGGGCGGTAAAATTATTGTTGGTTTAATGTAATCTTTTGTTTTATTAAAATTTATAATTCGTGTTATCGTGTACTCACATCTCTGTAGTTATATTTTCTTTCATATGTAGTAAATTTTATGAGAGCGCGTTTCCCAATAAATTTGCGCAAAGACAGCATCGTAAACTTTCTTTAGATATTATGGGTCACCTGATGAGAAGTGCCCTCGTGATTGGTCTTGGGGGAAAAGACGAGGAGGACGAAGGTAAGTAAACACATCATTATTACATACTATTAAATACAAGTAGATCCTTTGTTTCATAAACTCGTTATGTACTTTTTAATTAAAAAATAAAAATATTATTAACTTAACTAGTAAAAGATTGTGGTTAACGGTTAGAGGATTTTACTCCCGTAAACATTAACATTGTGAAATGTATTTCCTGTCAAAGTTTCTCTGAAGATTAGAAGAT